ATTGACAAATTAAGTAGCAATAACAATATCTAATTAAACAAAAAACATCCAACAATTAGACAACCAAATAAATCATCAAACACAAACTAAAAATAAATTGAAGAACTTACATTAATATTTCAGATAAATATGCTATTTTATTAACATTATTACACCCCCAAAATTAATTGTCTTTATACACTTAACAAAAGACATAAACCATGCCACTAAACCTTATTATTTCGGACCTTAAATTAAAATAAAATAAATATTTATTTGCAATGATGGCTAAAAAGTTTTTAAAAATGTATAATTCTATTTGAACAAAAATTAAAAAAATATTTTTTAATAAGCCTATTAAGATTAGTATTTATTTTACCAACACTTCGCTCATTATTTAATGTTTGGAAAAAACTAATATATTGTAAGTAAAAACGAAAATATATTCCTAAAAAATTAGTCAGAAAAACTTAGACAAAGCAGTTGCTGGCTTTCTTGTGTTGCTTCCTTGGAAATCTTTTAATCACTGCCACTCCCGTAGATATACACAACTATACAACTATACACCCAAAGCGGCCTGAGATTTCCGCGAGGAAACTTTCGCCAGACTTTCGAAGGATGCCCATTTGGGAATGGGGATCCCGGGCTATCCCCACTTTCCACTTTCCAGTTGCAGTTTGTTTGCCAGTTGAAAGTCTCCCGCTGAATGATTGCCATTTAGTCTGCCACTTGCGACTAATTCGAGATCGCTGAGAGCTGCAGACAGATTTCATTATTTATGCACTTGTGTCTGTGTGCTGGAAAATGGTGAAAAATGGCGAAAATGGGGGTGTGGGTGGGGTGACTGCCGACAATTAACTTTGTTTTTCGCTTACATTTTCACGCTATTTTTTGGGGCCAAGTTTCGCCGCGCACTTTTGCGCTTTTATGCTTTTATTTATTTGCAAACTGCAGCTCGAGTGAAAATCAGGGGGTTTTTTGGAAGGAAGGTGGGACTATTTCCCTCGGGTTTTCCACCGGCTTTGAGTTTACTTTTTGTTAGTTGTTTGTTCGCCGGTGTTCGGCTTCGACTTCAGTCCTAGCTCCTTGGTCCATGTCCTTGCCATGTCCTGCCGCTGTTCTTCGCACCTAGCTGCACTTCTTCATCAACGCGCCCGCCAGCCAGGGCAAAGTTTTGGATCGAAGAAACGAAGTTAGCGCCAGGTGAAAATGCTCCATTGGTCAACGGCTGCGGGGGAGGGGGGGAGAGGCGGTAGGGGGGCAGTGAAATTCTGGCAGCTCTAATTGAGTTATTTGTGCAGCTTGGCCAGCAGCAAGTAAGCAGCAATTAACCTGCCATGCCCACTCGAAATTGCTATTCAAATGTATACAAACTAATAGATTATGACTTTAAAGGCCCAAAGAAAATATATTTCTCCTTTTGACATTTACATACACAAATAGCTTATACAAATTTGCCATAAAACAGTTGGTTTAATTTGATTTTAGCTGTAAATACCTGTCAATGGTTGTTGTTTTCAGTACCTGATATTAAGCCAAAAATTTGATACAATAATTGCTTCTATAAAATCAAAAGAATTAATAGATTGGGATAATTAAAAAGTACTGATGCGCAGATGTGTGGTAATTAATTTGAACCTGTGAAAACAATAATAGGCCATTTTATTTTATATAATCTGTTTAATATTTAGATTTAGTATGTCATGTTTCATTCAACGTAATAATTAACTTGAAGTCCAATAACTAATTAAATGCTGAATAATAGTTGTGTCAAATTTATTTAACGCTCCAGAGGATAAACCTTTGTGTAATAAACCAACAGATTAGGGTCACAGAATCTGGCTGAAAGGATTTGCAAGCCAAACAAATGGTCGTTTTTTTTTGTAAAACATGATTACAAAATCAAGAATATTCATAATTATCAGGAGGAAATCAATTTAAGTATCTCAACAGACCCCTATAAATTTTGCAATCGATGCTGAAAAATGTGCAATCATCTTTGACCCCATTCGAGACTCCCCGGACTCATTAACCCTTGTCAGCCGACCGCTTGGATCGACCTTGACCCCCCTTCCTAACCCCCCCACCTTCCCTTCCACGCCAACATTTTAATTTTCCGTTCGCCATTTTCCATTTTCCGTTTTCATAAATCCATTTCCATCGCTCCTTAGCCCCATTACCAATTAGTCCGAATGCCATCGCTGCCAAGGTCAATGGCCCGTTCAGGATGGCCAGAAAAAAATGGGAGCGGGATAAGGATCGGGATAAGGATAAGGATGCGGACGGTAATGGCAGCGGACAGGGAGTCCTGCTCCTGTTCCTGCTCCTGTTCCTGCTCCATGGCCATTAGGCGTGCGCTGCAGGCTTAATTAATCATGGCTAAGTGAGTCCGGGACGCAAAAAAAAAACTATTAGACATAAATGTGATTTTTCCGTTGCTTTTTCGTTTATCGCTTTCTTTGCGTTTTCCCATTCAGTCTGCTTTTGTCTGCGTTTCCGGCTAGCTGGTCTGCACTGAGAAAAATCCCTCCTCCTTAGGAGTAGCTAAATTGTTAAAATAACCAAATAAATAAACCGAATTTAGTACCAGGGAATATCATTTAAGAGTTCAATTTGTGCTTCAGTATGTTCGTTTATCATTAGTTAAAAATCATAAATATTAGGATTATTGCTTCAATAAAACTATTGCTTTAAAAAAAAATAAATGCTTCAATAAACTTATTTTGTAAAAGATATTTTAAGATTGTTTCATATATAATATTCATATTTATATATAAAAGCTATAAAACATTGTAATATCCTAATGATCATAATAATAAGTATTGCAAAACATTGAAACACATTTTGAATAATTTTATATAGGTAATAGATTTGAGTTTGACACTTTTAAATATTGTTTAGAGTGTAGAGGGCAGCGCACAAATTACTTAAAGATAGATAGAGCGACCGGATGAGGTGAAGGATGTGGCTGGAGTCAAGGGGCGGGGGGTGGGGCAACGACGCGTTATTTCCGTTTCCGGTCCAGCATTCAACACTCGCATCGAGGCGCATTGAGTGATGAAGTTTCGGAGGCACCGTAACAGCCCCTGCCACGCCCCCTGCCCCCGAAAACGCCCCTTTTGGCCTGGCCTATTCCCCCGGCATAATCATTTCTTTTTTGTTTCCCCCTCTTCGACTCTCGCCACCTTTTCCCCTTTTTTGCACCCTGTTTTGTTGGACCAAGTGATAAAATGTTTTATGTGCTCGAGTGTCTGATAACAATAAATAACGCCATCAGGACGAAAAGGACCCGAAAAGGGGGCGTGGATGGATGGGGCGGGGGGCGCGGAGGGGCGGTTGGCATGTAAACAAATTGGTGTTGAAGGCATTTAGCCCTTTGTCGGACAGAGTTCTGTGGCCAGTTCGTTTGTTTAGGCCCCAGAGTTCGACCCCAGCGTTTGATGAATTGTAATCAGCCCTAAATTGGCAACAAGGCCAAGGACATCGGGCCAAAAGGGGCTGTCGTATTAATCATCGAAGTTTGAATGGGCCGATTCTGATTTGATTAGTTGGCAAAATATGTTTGAAAAACCAACGCAACAGTTTAGACCTAAAATCGATTTCGAGAAAATGGTATAAATAAAGTAAAATGTTTACACTGGAATAGAAGGCGATGGCAGACATTTGATATTTTTAATTTTATAGACGTGTTTTCTTATTAATTTGAACCGTAATGGAATTCATATAATAAAATCTAGTTAAACTGGTTTTTAAAAACGTCTCCGGCTCGCTGTTTTAATTTTTGCAATAAAATTTGCATATCCGATGTCTGTGCATAATTACAGCGGAAGGACAAACAAATAATTCCATATTAATTTATTAGCCTTTTAATTAGGGCCGCAATTCAATTTGTTGCTTTTTTTTGGGTATAATTTTTAACACCACTGCGAACTCAATAAACGCATAATTGAATAGTTCTGAAGAGAAAAAAACGATTTAATAAGAGGGCATAAATAAAGCTGGAGACTCTGATAATTTATATAATCCGTATAAATGGGTAATATTTGGCTATATTTGCGAATATATCTTTTCGTCGTCTTTGGCAGCCTGAGGAGTGGGTTTTCCAAGCCGAAAATCCCCAAAAAAAAACATTAAAATCCCACACATGAACATTTTTAATTCGGTTATGCATCGCCTTGTTTTCTGCTTTTTGAAACGTGAAAATGGGAAAAGTGAAAATGTGTGTGCGAAATGGACAAATGGAAATACGGGGAGTGAAACGCACACCCAATGCTTTTAATTATGTTGATTTTTCGCTGATTTAATTTTTTCCTGCGTTCGTTAAGTTTGCAGCACAAACCAAATGGAATTTAATTTAATCCTTTCGCCCAAAAAAAAACACACCTTATTTTTTTGTTTTTTTGGTTTTTTGTTTAAACCGACCAGCAAAGGCAACCGAATGGCAAACGAGGGGAAAAATAGAAAAAGCCAAATTATAAAAGCGCTTCGGCCAACGAATTTTTTCAGCTCCCTGGGAAAAAATACTTCAAAAGCGTCTATTCAAATGCCAAACGGTGATAACGGGAATGGCAAAGGGGGTTTTTTTTTTTTCTTGGTGGCTCGTTTTGGTTAATGTTACACCATTTTGGTTTAATTACTTTTTGGCTTTTGACCCGATAACTGCACTCTTTTTTGCTCACTTCCGTGGCCATTTTCAAACAGCTTAATTAAATAAGGGGGTGCAAGTTGGACCCTCTACATCCACGATATCCTGCGATTGCCGCATTCGCCGATAATTTAATAATTGCATCGGGCTGATAAGCCGATTCGGTCGCATTATGCAGCTTTAACCGCATTTGAGCATATTATTTACCTAGCGAATTTGGCTTTTGATTTCATTTTGGTCCGCTGCATAATCCGCGATTTAAGATAAGTTCTTCAATTTGAAATGTCGGTATTAAAACGATTTAAAACGTATTTCTTTTTATATATAGTGGCAAGTCATAATCAACAAAAAATAACATGAAGTTAAATATTAAATATTTCACATATATACATAATTGTCTTTATTAGTTATCAAATTGCAATACAAATCTTTAGCCAGAAGGTTTCCATCTTGACTTATACACATACCAATATATACATACATATATAGTTAAATTGGTCATAAACAAATTGCATAAAGTACATACAATATATAATATATAAAAGCTATAGCGGGATATATTTTGGGGCAAGGGAGGGACTCTTAAAGGCTAAACAGAACACCCGGAGTTAAGTGAATTATTATCACTGGATCGGCATCAACCGATCTTATCACAAAATAAGACTTGTCTACCTATTATAAAAAAAAATTGAATAAAAGCATATAGGCGTTTTCAAAGTTTTTACAATTACGTTTAGCAATATTATTCAAAACTCACTGTAAAGCTACCAGAATTATAATCACATTATTCTCTGTATATGTAGAAACCAGTACAAACCATATCAAATGTCTATATTCTCAATTGAACTTAAGAACTATTTTATTTGTTTGGGGATGGAACCATAACCATTTAAGCTTTTACTTCAATTTGTTATTTTTACCTAAGTAATTTACATAAATGTACAGTTGTGCTCAAAAAAAATAGTAGCAAGTCAATGTGAATTTGCCAACAAAATACTAGGAATAGATTTTTTGTTTGGTTGAACAGCAAAAAAAAAATTACAAAATTGTTTTATGTCCTACCCATTCAGTAAGTTATTAATTTTACTTACGTTCAAAAATACTAATACTATAAAGATATTATGTTAGATATAACTTGTTGTTATGTCACAGACAAAAGCTAATGGGGCTTTGAATTCAGTAGTTTTTGGCTTGGAAATGAGAACATGACTACTGCTCAGGTTCTAGTCTCCTCGTAACCACAGTGAATGTACCCAGTTTCCAGGGATCCCTCCACCGCAGCCGACTTGCTGGGCAGATCCTTCCTGAGTCCATCCTGCTGCCGCTGCTGCTGCTGCTGCTGCTCCTTGTGGACACCATTGGTGGTAGTGCCATTCGGCTCGCAGCTGTCGAGGATTCGCTCGAAAACGGTTTCGAAACGGCAGCGGGTCAGCGAAAAGCGAGCCACGTCCACGCACAGATCCCGAAGGATGGCGAAGAGTTCCGAGAGGAGTGGGGCATCCCCCAGTGTGCCGGGCGACCGGATCCTCACGAGGAACCTCAGGCTGTGCCCGTAGTGCTGCAGATCCCGTGCCCCAGGCAGCCGCTGGCCGAGGCTCCTGGACAGGATGGCCTGGTGGGCGGGGCCGCAGAAGCAGGTGACGGCATAGTAGCCACCGTGCTCGGCCTTCAGCCGCTCCGGACTGTCGCTGGCGATGACCTGGCCGGAACGGAGCACTGCCACTCGGTGGCACAGGTGCTCGATCTCCGACACCGAGTGGGAGGTGAGCACAACGGCGCGACGGGCCAGCAGCAACTGCTCGATGGTGGCATAGACCATGTCCCGGGTCACCGGATCCATGTCGCTCGTCGGCTCGTCCATCAGAACGGTGGGTGTGCAGCCGCAGCAGGTGATGGCCACCGTCAGCTTGCGTCGGTTGCCGCCGCTCAGGTTCCGCACCTGGATGTCCTTGTAGGGACGCAGCTCGTAGGTGTCCAGCACGCGGTCCAGGAACTGCTCCAGATCGCGGATGCCGCGCAGGCGGCCGTAGAACCGGATGCACTCGCTCGCCGTGAGCAGCGGGTCCAGCGGATTGCTCTGCGGGCAGTACGAGACCCCGGGCTGCAAAAAATAAATAGTTTAAAGTTATTAATTAAAATCACTAAAAGGCTTTAAGAGCAATGAACAGACACTCTTGAGAATCAGTAATGTATCACAAATAATATAATTTATAATATTTTCTAACTATAATATCACTTTTAGAACTAAGATTATTGTGTTTGCCTTTATCAAAATTAAAATTTAATTTTAACATACAAATTGGTATAGCGAGCATTCTTTTACTTTTACTAAAGAAATAGGCCACATTGCGTATGAGTGATATCAATTACAAAACACACCGCAAATAGGGACTAATTACAAACATATTTAACAAAGTATTCAAATCTTAAATAAGCGAATTGTTTATAAAGTAAATAAAATTGAGTTCACTTACTGCAAAAGCAATAAAGTATATAATTCATTAACAAACAATTAAGAATGCGATTCGTTCATAAAGTAAATACTAGCTTACTTATAATTATATGATATATAAAAACTTATAAATTGAAGTCAGTTTACCTACACATACGTATGAATTTGTATACCCTTAACACTTTGTGAGTACCTAGTGTATTGAATAAGCATTAGAAATAGCACAAGCACAACATAAATCTATTACCAATGAAACTATGTGGTTAGACATCTACTTGGGAAAGTCCAAGTTAAGAAAGTTCGACTGTACTCATACAAACCCCTAAAGGGGAAGAACCCACCTGCTCGAAGTAGATGTGTCCTACATTGGGCTGCAGCTGTCCGGTGAGCATCTTGAAGATGGTGGACTTCCCGGCCCCGTTCTTGCCCAGCAATCCGAAGCACTCGCCCTTCTGGACACTGAAGTGCACCTGGCGCACGGCATAGTTTCCGCGGCGGTAGGCCAGCCAGAGATTCTCCGCCCGCACCGCCTCCCCGGCGGCCACACAGCTCTTGAAGATGCTCTGGATGTTGACCAGCTTCAGCTGGCCCAGTTTGTCCAGCTCCCGGCGATAGGTGCAGTCCAGCAGGCGCTCCACACGCTGCCACAATCGCCGCAGCAGGTGCCACTCGATGAGGACATTGAGGATGAGGCCCACCACGCCCACCACCAACAGGGCGGTGAAGTGGCGCCCCAGCAGATCACTGGCCAGTGGATGCTTGTACGAGTCGATGTCGTAGCGCCGGAACACCAGGGCCACCATATAGTTCTTGCACAGCTCCAGGAAGCCATCGCCCAGCGCGTGAATGGGAAAGATGAGGAAGACCTGGTTGAGGGCGTGTCGCCAGCTATCCCACGCCGGACCATCGCCCACCACGCCCAGGATCAGGACAATGCCCATGGTGACCAGCGGGATGATGAGGTTGGCGCAGAAGATCGACACAATGGCGATGCTCGAGTCGCTGAATATCTTCTCGGCCACATGGACAGCCGGAACGCAGGCGAAGCTATAAAGGATTGGATCATAGTAATAAGATTCTTTATGATAAATGGGGTGGAGGGTTGTACTCACCTAAAGGCCAGTGATAGTCCAATGATGCCCACCAGCTGTTGGCGATCGACAAAAACAGGCATGCCGAACATCAGGATCACGGCAAGGCAGACAATCAGTCCCAGGACCATTACCAAGTAGTCCCACACAAAGGCCACCAGCCAGTAGGTCACAGCACTCACTCCACACAATCTTTGCTGGAGTTTCTCGCCATTCACACGTTCCTTGACCAAGTAAACCGAACCGGCGGCCACCACCAGGCCAAAGGCAATCAGCAGGATAAAGACCATGGATCCATCACCCGCCTGGCGGAGAATCGAACTGGTACTCAGTTCGGAGTAGCCCAGTTTCCACGGTTCGTTCAACGTTAGTATACCATAATCCGAATCGTTGAGGGTGGTGCGCAACAGCTCCGAATTGAGATCGTTTAGCCAGGCAACCATGGAGTGGTAGCCCTTATTGTTGTACCACACTGTTGCCCCCGATCCATTGAGTCCATAGCCGCCATATCGCCGCTCGCGGTACTCATCCCAGGAGTTCATCACCCAGTTGTAGGCACTTTCGGAGTCATTGAACTCCCGGCACTCGCCCAGTTCATCGCAGGATGTCCTCAGCCGGGGATGCAACTGCTCCGTGAGGCTGGTCACCTTCTCCTCGGACAGAAACTGTGCGGTTTTCGGGTAAAGCGATCGACTTAGAGGAAGCACAGTGTCAAAGTCATCCTCCAGTCGATAGCTGACGAACCACATGGCGCACAGCTCGAAGAGAGCGGGCAGGAGGAGCACATAGAGCAGTAGCCGGTAGTTGCGGGACAGATGCCGCAGTCGCTTGCCCATCAGGAGTCGGAACTGCTTGCAGGCAGTGGGTGGATCCTCGGAGATCGTGGCAAGACCACCGACCACGCCATTCCGTTCGCCATTGGATCGTCGCGGGGCAGCAGGCTCATCCGGTCCATTCCGCCTGTTCAACTGCTCGAACTCCTGCTCCAAACTGGAGCTACTGGTCAGCTCCACATCGGCCACTGCGCCAGCAGCCTCTTGGGTTTGCAGCAGCTCCAGGAACTCCACGGCTCCGGGTGTCAGATGCTCCGCATAGCTGGCACTGATCGTCAGGCTGTGCGGATGCTCAGTGGCTCCGGCGTGGATCACCTGGCTCCGGGGCAGGAGCTGCTGGGCCCGCTGCACAATGTAGGCCACTCCGGTGGCATCGGCACAACGCATCCGAATGCTGTAGCTGGAGGTGCACAACTGCTGCAGCGAATCGCGACTGTGCTGGGCAATAATGCGACCCTAAAAAGGGTATATGTAAAGGGTTCAATGGTTAATGGCAAATAATGGCAAATAATGGCGAATATATAACAAATAACATATCTATATCAATTTATAATTTATGTTTGATGAGCAGTTCTTGATTATAATCACTTTACATTAATATTTGATCATATTTATACATTCCATGATGATTATAATCATTTTACATTAATATTTGATCAGATTTTTAAATAATCTGATATTATAATCAGGTACCAAAAATAGTGCTATTTATTTTCAGAAAAGTACTATGAGATCTTCTTTATCTTTTTTGACTACTATTTTATTTCAAAGAGTGTAGTTCTATTTTTTATTTGGCAAATCAACACGATTATGATCACGTAATATTTATCTTCTCATAAATGTTGATTTGGTAATTGAAGATATCAAATTGATATAATAATCTTCTGGTATCTGGTGGTAAGTCTCTTTTCCGTATACTCACATTCCGCATAATGACCAGCGAGTCACTGAGGTACTTGGCCTCGTCCAGGAAGTGCGTGGCGAAGATCACGGCCCTGCCCTGACGCAGTCGCTCGATCAGCTGCCAGATGTCCTTCCTGGCCTTGGCGTCCACCCCGTTGCAGGGTTCGTCCAGGATGACCACGCTGGGCGAGGCGATGAAGGCGATGGCCACGCAGAGGCGTCGTCTGTAGCCACCCGACAGCTGCCACGCGGGATAGGACTCGTGCTGGCCGAAGTTGAGGCTCTGGAGGGTTCGCGCCACCTCCGTGCGGACCTCCTCCGCTCCATCACTTCCACCACTCGGCTGCATCTTGATCTGAGCATACAGCTGCAGGTGCTCTCGAGCCGTCAGCGTGGGTATGAGGATGTTGTCCTGCCAGCAAACGCCCACCTGGTGCTCACCGGCCAGCAATACTTTGCCGCTGCTCTGCCGGATTTGTCCCGTGAGCAACTTGATCAGCGTGCTCTTCCCGGCTCCATTGCGGCCCAGGAGGCAGCTCACCTGGTTGCGGGCAAAGTCCAGGCTCAAATTGGACACGGCACACTTGCTGCCATACAATTTGGTCACATTGGCCAGCGAGGCGCCCAGTTTGTCGTCCAATTGCGACCGGGTGACCTTCACAAAGCTATAGTTATCTGAAAGATACAATAAATAATCAAAATAACCATTGGTATTCAATCAGTGGAGGGACTTACTCTTCTTGAAACGCTGGTAGGTCAATCCAATGACCGCGTACAGGAGGAAATCGAGCAGGAACATGAGCAGCGCCATGGCGCACTCGCTCCGGGCGGGTCCCACCTGGACGAGGTGACCCAGGGTGAGGCCCTCCTGCTGCAGCTCCATTCGCATCAGCTCGCTCCAGCCCTTGGCGAAGGCCGTGGTGAAGGACAGGTCCACCAGGAAGCTCTCGAAGACACTCAGCTTGGCATCGAACATCAGTACGATGATGAAGGGACACAGGCTGATGAAGAACAGCAGGGCGGAGGCCACGGCACCAATGTTCGCCGAATTGAAGAAGTTGGAACACATGTAACTGCGGGTTGCGCAATGGATTTAGTCTACCACATAATGCTATGCCATGATAATGCCTTGCTCACCAGAAAGAAATCAGGCAAACGCCAAAGCTCAGGCAGTAGAACATCATGAAGAACCAGTTGGTATATCCCAAAATGCCGCCACTGTACAGAACAACACTGATCAGCACGAAGATCACACAGAGCTCCACGAAACTCATCAGAGCCCAGGCCACCAGTTCGGAATGTGCCTTCAGGCCCATCGATCGCAACAACTGAGGATTATACAATGGTGATTATATAGTATAAGGTTTTCGGGTAAAGTTATATGACAACAAGAGGTGTATTTCTTGGCTTTTAATTGTCGTTACAACTGACACGTTCATATTCTCATTTATTTGCCTTAAGTCAGCCTAATTAATCTGATTAGCTGTTAAAATAAACACAGATCAAACCCTCCACTCAAGTGAAAAGTAATAGAAAATGTGGTACTTACCATGCTATTACGGCTTTCCCGCATCCAAATGCGTTCCCTCACACAAAGGGCCACGAAAACCACCAGACCCAATAGATAGGCCACCTGGACACCTTGGGCCAAGTACAGGCCACGTTTGAAACTGAAATAAATTAAATAATTATAATAAGCAATATAGAAGCTAAGGAAGTTATAAAGAAAAGGAAGTTCCCACTCACACATCATTAAGAAAGGCAGGATACGGGAACTGCTTGGTGTAGAACTGCATGTTGTCCACTTCGAACTTATTCTTTTTATTGGCATTCAATCCACCAAATAATCCAAGTAAATCCAGCAGACCCTGTCGCTTGGAACGCTTTAGCACATCCTCATCGTTGAGCAGAAGAAGATCGGGTTCACCATTCACCGTTGGATGATCTGTGGTGACCCCTTCTTCTTCTTTTGTGGTGACCCCTTCTTCTTTTGTGGTGACCCCATCAATCTCTTCGTCTTTTGCTGCGGAAGGAATTGTCGTGGCCTCTTGATCATCTGCAGATGGCGGACTCTTTTGAGTTGCACCGCTCTTCTCCAGACTGAGATCGAGATCATCATCATCATCGTCATCATCGGACAAGTCGGTTTCCACATGCTTTATGCTAAACAGACTACTCAAAGATCGTCCACTTTCCAAGGGGTCCTCCTCCGGAAAACCGGCCTCATCTCGTTTGCTCTTGATTATTCCCAGGTCGACCATCTGCTTGAGCTGAACGAAACCACGATGGTACTTGAGATCAATCACCATACTGTCGGCTGGTCCGGGGAACCAGAATCGATTGCGGTTCTCGAACGTGGGCTGCGTATTATCCGTGTCCATGTGCAGGCGGTAGGAGGACTGCTTCAGACCCACATCCTCCAGATTGAGGGCGGCCAGAAAGAACTTATTCTGATTCAGTTCGTAGGCCCTCCTCTGCAACTCCTCCACACTGCCAACGGCCTCGAAACGATCCGCCGAAACGCAATCCATTAGATCAGCCACGGTGGTGAGGATGTCATAGATCAGCTGATTCGTGCGGATATATTGGAACACCCGCTCGATTTCCCCGATATCAAAGTCATCGCCAACCAAACTTTTCACCAGCGGCGATTTGGCCAACTTGAGCAGATTGTCGAAGGCCTCCTGGAATGTGGCATTCGTATGCAGTTTGGTCATTATAGTGGCTGCTGCCCGAGAAAGTTGCTTCAGCCTGTCCAGCTCCTCAAAGGTGGCATTACTCTGGGTTCGAAAAGGGGTACAATTTAATACATTACAGTATGGAGGCTACCCAAAGATAACTTACAAACTTCACCACGCTATCGGTCACCACATTGGCGGGGGTGTAGAGAATCCGGCCCTGGATAATCGGCTTGATGGTGTTCCAGGTGAGCTTGCCCTGGTTTGTAGAAGTCACATCCATGTAGAGACGCTTGCAGTATTTGGCTAGGAATAACAATGGTTTTACAAATATTAAAAAAAGATAAAAATATATGGTTCCCTTTGTTAAAAGCTTTACACACTTGAAAAATTATTATATATGTGACACTATTTGTCCAGCATAGAAGCATTATTAGCAAACAGGCCTTACATTTACAAATCCTTATATAATAGTTAATGCTTAAAACAAGACTTGTAAACTTAATGTTAGTCTCACTTTACAATGAAAGAAACCAAAGTCGAATAAAGTATAACCGTATAAGCCATATTTAGTCAATCTGAACCAATAAGCAGCAATAATTAAAATGATTAGAAAAGCTTTTTTAATATTAAGATCTCTGATCATGCTCACTTGGCCTCCAGTCCGTGGGGAGATTATTTTCGGATCGACGACGACGACGGTCTGGAGGCAGAGCAAGGTTGGCAATTTGCAGTTTTTGATTTTTTCAATTTCAATGGGAGGGACCTCCGTTACAGAGAACTTAAACTCACTCGGCATCGCATCGAGTTCCGCGTCGTTGGCCTCGCTAAAGTCCTCCGATTCCAGGATTTCGTTGACCAGCGGTATAGTGTCGGTGTTGGGAAATGGATGGCCACACAGCAGGACGCCCAGCTTCACGAAGGTCTCCCGATCTGCCAGAGAAATCAGTTGGAATTATTGGAATCACAGGAGTCTACCTCAAAACATACTCGAAAACAAATGCTTAATGTCGAAGCTATAGTTCATCCGTCTTTCGATTTCGGGCACCAGAGAAATGATTTCACTTATGTTACCTGTATAGCAAATAAATGGAAAATGGTTAACAGAATTACAACTCTAGCTGCTAGAATTTTATAAAAACTTTAGACATAAGACATCATAGTTTGGGTAAACAAAATTAGATTAGGGAAATATTAATCTTTCGCATATCAGAAATGTTTTTTTCAAATGATTTCACATTTGTAATTGATTTTTTTTTTAATTTAAGGGTGTAATATCGTAAAAATAAAATTGTTATTTGATGAAACTTAGTCGGGGCTTAACAGATAAATAAAAACGTTTAAAAACGTTATATAAATACTATAGAGTCTTTTCAAATTTAATAAGTTAAAGTTTACTATAAAAAATTGTACATAAATAAAAAGAAGGAACAAACTTCTAGAGGTGTACAACTTTGAAATCGAGTTTCAATAGGCCAAGTTCTCAGTTAGAAAAGGATCAGGGACATAATAGTGTAATCGTAAGTGCCCCTAATTGCTGATTCCGGTTACCCCTTGTTAACACTAATTATAAGGTGCAGTACTCACTTCGTATGATGTCGAGACGATCGCTGGTGATCAGCGTGGTTATGGCCGACACAAAGTTGGCCTTCTCGGCCAGTTCAACGACGGCCTTGTGGAGTCGTTCGTCGGTCACAAAGGCGTTGACCACATCGATCACGGAGTGCAGGCTGGAATGGGAGCCAAATGGGTTACCACCTGGATTATCGAGGAGTATGTGATGATGATCTTACGGCGCCTCCTTCCAGTGGGAGTACTCCTCGTAGGGCTGCGCCGGCTGGCAGCGATTCTCAATGCTGCAGATGTAGGAGAAGGCGGCGGGGACCACCTGGTTCTTGGTGGGCAGCAGACGGGTGGGGTACTGGCAGGCCTCCACCTCCTTCGATCCGTACTTCAGGCGGATCAGGTAGAGCAGCATGAAGATCATCACCGGCCAGGCCAGCAGGATCAGGCTGAGCCCCTTCTGGCGCCATCGCACCAACAGATCCTTGCGCAACAGCTCCCGCACTTCGCGTCCATTCAGGTGCATCCTCATCGCGGCGGAAACTCGGCTCCTTCTCCGATTTCTTGAACTATCCCACTGGCGATCGCTTCTTCGACTCAATCACTCGGGCATCTTTGTCGTCTGCGCAAGGAGAATAAAAACACGGTCAATTTTCGTCGTTCTTCTTCATGGCTGATCCAAAAGCATATTATAAATTAAAAACAAAAAAAAAGGTGAACTAAATAAATATCTTCTAACCAAATTTCAGTGTGACAGATAAAATATTTCGCTTGATTTAAATACCCAACGGTTTTTTCTTTTAGGATGTCACACAATTCCTTGTACAATATTCTACATTTAATCAGAAAAATATAACGACTAATTGAATAACTTCCAATTTATGGGAATGATTAGAAAATTTCTTAAATATTTTCTAGTCAAAGGATTCTTTAGATTTTAAGACATACTGAGTAATGAAATGCAAAGTTTTTTTGTTGTCAAACATATCATATATGTACATTATATCCCAGTCCATTTGGCGGCGGAAGAGAGTCGGGTGTTAATTGTGGAGGCAGATAGGATCGCATATCTACGGATATCGCTTCTCCAACATAATTAACCCCTGTTTGCTTTGTTAACCGCCTTTGTCCCGTTTGCCGCATTGCTAATTCAGGCTATTTAGTGGCTCGCCTTGTCGGCAAAATACTTCCCGGTGGCAATCGAAGAGTCAAGTGCCCCTTTCCCCCCTTTTCCACTTAATCCTACAATTCACCTGCGCCAGTAAATTCCATTTGTTGACAATTATTTAAAAAGCGTGATTCTGTAATTTCAATTAAATTAATTGCCTGTTAAGTATGAACCACTGACCAACCAGTCACAACAGCTTTGTTGGCAACCAATCATCAGGAAACACAAGCCGATAGAGAGTAACTAAAAGTTTTTGATTTCCTTTGTTCCAGTATTAAGTAAAAATTATACCAAAAACTCATATCTATATTCGTAAGAATAGAATCCATTTATTTCCGCATCTCATCTCATTGAGCACTTTAATCTGACATCAAAATTTGGATGTACATTTTTTTTGACATTTTTGAAGGGGTTACATCGTGCCATTTTTCAGTAATTGACCATTTTGAAAACGGGAATCGTTGACTCAAGTTATGGGCTCTAGAAGTGCAGTATTGGTTTACAATTCTATATAGCTTAAAATCACTAGACTCCACTAAGCTTATATACTAAACTATTTAGTATATCATAACAAGAAATTAAACTTAAATTTCAATATCTTAATTTATAGCTTAGTATTGTTCACTAAATCTTTTCGAATGCAAGACCTCTTAAAACACGACAAGCACAACCTATTCTTAACCACTTTTCTGTAATTTATTTCAATCAAATGTCAACGGAAATTGGTTCTTTAAATGATGTGCTCCCTGAGTTCGAGAAGTTCCCATGTGGCCCCGTCCAAGGTTTAGACCCTCGTAAACTGGGCGATCGGGCAAAGAGTTATGGCTTAACCAGGAGGTGAAGGTGCCTCAGATCGTAATGGCGTTATGGCGCCTGTTCAACTGTCCATTTGAGTCAAGTGCGGATGAAAGATGAGCCGCATCCATTACCCGGCGGGCAAATGGCGGGCCGATTTATGACCCGGACAATGTCGAACTTCGCGAAACCAGTTACAAATCAAATAGACGTACAGCCAGGCAGTAAAAGAGCGTTTATTCTGGTTATTTTTTTTTTTGTATGTTATTTGGTATGCAAAGCTCGGCCAGTGAGTTTTGATGAACACCACCCGCTGATCTTGCCAACTTGCTGCCAAGATGCCAATCAACTCCGGCTCGTTTAAATATATATATTCTGTATACATACATACATTGAGATTGCCACTGAGAACACTGTGACTTTTGACTTTTGGCTGGAGACTTCAATCAAAGTGGGAAAATCTCGAGAGGCGAGACAAAAGAATATTAAGATGTGTGGAAATATAAACAGAAAAATCTAAAATCTGGCTCAGGGTACTTCGACTAACTTGGTTAACTAGCTAACTTATTGCGTAAACTTTGGTTGTTATGATTTCAAAAAAACCTAGTAAAACAAAATATGTAAAACGCTATAAAGCTACAGTAGATATAATTTAAATGATTAAATTTTGTAACATCCAAACTTACTTATTTAAAACAGATTTTCTTATAACAAAAAGTCATAAAAAATAATACTACAATTGTTAAAAAGAATACATTCTTTAAAGTACTAAACGAAATGTTAAAAGTAAAGGAGTTAAAAGCCATTTTAAAGTTTTTACAATTATTTTAAAGTAGTTCATTTAGTTTCTAGTTAGTCAACCGGCAACTTGTTTGCCAAAGCCTATGGCACCAGATCTAGCAAAATACCAGATTTAGTTCCAGTTCCAAGCCCACTTTCGATTGCATTTGCTGATTAGTCAACGGCCTATAGCATAATGTTGCAGTCGCGCCAATGTCATCATCGCCGGGGATTATCTAATACTTGATTGATCCCCGGCTAATGTTGCGTGAACCGATCGCTCCAGTTTCCCACCGCTGGAAAACTGGGCCAACAATATATGTGTTATATGTGCATATATAGTATATGTTTATTTACGATCGACTTATCAGCTCCGTTCCCGCTTTGCAAGTCAGTCGGGAATTTGTAGTTGATAATTACAAGGTAGTTTTTGAATAGGACAAATGTTGCATTGCAGTGGCTTCAATTAGCAGGTAAAAGCACCTACAACTTTGCCACTCCATTCCAGTTCGAGGAAGAAATACCGACCGAATGCAAATGTGTTAATTCCTGCGATTCCAGAGGCAAAAAGACACCGCGGCACGTATTCCCCGCAGAAACCAGTAACCAGCAATCAGTGGGTATTTTACCCCCCGGTCATAATAACCAGATGTTTTTCGAGTACTTTTCGGGTACCTGCAAACCGAAACTAATACTTACAGCTTTTGGGCTAATTAAAATAAAGCTGCGAATCTGATGCAGTTGCGAAACGGGATTTCGTGGCAATTTCCATTATATTATTGTATTAAAACTCGTTTAGATCACGTTTAGTTACTCAAAATGCAAATGAATTCCTGGAATTACCCAAGGCATCACTTAAGTGCTGCTTAATCGAAAGTTCGTTCTAAGTCCCAATGGAGATACCTATTTAAGCCTTTCAATTTGATTAGATTCAAAATGTGTTATAACAACACAACAAACCGCATCTGGAATTAAAAATATATCTTTCAACTGGTTTGTTGTTTCAGTCAATTAAACTTGATATGTTAAATTTGAACAAGAAAGCTAACATTATAGACCATCAATTTATACTTTTTAACGCGAAACAAAAAAAAAAAAAAATCTTACAAATTTTTCCCATAAATATTTTTTGACCTTTTACTTTCTATGATATTGCTACATCATTATCTGTTTTTATTTCAGCTATAAATTCTGTATATACTATTTTTTTTATAAATAAATTCCACAGTTTTTTTGAAGTGTGAAGTTTTATGTTATTTGCATATTTACATTATAGCTGGCCTTAACTGACAGACCCACTAATTCAGGTGAGAACTCGACCCACCTTGGTCACCTTTAAAGCTTCTCCTCCCTGAAAACCACTAATAACCAATCAAGTGAACACTGAAAACAAATCAATTATCATAAGTTAATTTATACAAATATAATAAGCTATTAATCTTTTAAATTTGCTTAAGCTTTTATGCTAACTTATTTTATAAGGCACTTTTTAAATGTACATATTTTGTTATTTTTACGAGAATAAAAATAACTAGTATCTAGTTTTTCTCACTGTGCTTCACAATCAGCATAGACATAAAACTCCGGCCAGACGGCTGCCGGCTTGAGTGGATTCTAGCCTCAATTTATCATCGATCTATTGGCTAACTCGAAATTCAGCGAGACCTTGACCATGAGTCTTCACTAATCGCAAAAACTAGCAAGTCGCGCTAACGAAACGAAAATAGTGGTATCAAAGTAAATATAAATAAGGAGAAACTAGTTTGTTGTGTGATCGCCACCGTGATCCGCTCACCCTTTAAATGGTTTTGTGTAATGCATTTTGTTTTGATGATTATCCCACTTAAATTTTACATGGAGATCTTTTAGTATTTATCCCCCCAACCACCCATTCGGGGAATCTGATTAAATCGCGTGTGACCAAGCGTTTAAAATCGCACGCGTTTTTGCCGGGTTTATAGTGCAATTTATGCACCAATTTATTTCCAGGTATTTTAACTGCATTCCATATCATAAATAAACTTATTGTGTTTTTTTTCTTCTTTTAATTCACTTATATGCTGACATTTTTCTTTGTACTAATTTTAATCGTTTTGGTAGTGAGGTTTTTGATTATAGTAAAATTTATGTACACACATCTTTTTTTCTGAACACTATAACTGCTTTCCATCTGATCAACATATTTATTATAAATTTAATGGTATTTAGTTTCCTATTTTATTTAGCTCGAACTTTCCTTTTTAATTTAAAAGTTATATAGTCTAACGAATACAATGAATTTACTTAAACTATACTTCCTCTTGTGAATAAGGAATACATTAAATTAAAAATAGAATAATTATTTCCTCTTTTTAAGAAAATGTCCTTAACTTAAAGTATAAAATAAAATAATAATATTGCAGTAGATGCAACGGTAGTTTCTCTTCAAATGTTAAAAACGCGATTGCCTGCAGTGAAGCGTTTAAAAACGCACGCGTTTTCCTGTTCGGACTTCTGATTCAACTTCAACTTCAACTCGGAATCGTTTGGGATCACATCGAATCGCTCGATCAACCGATCAGCATGAGTCGGCAAGAACCGGCGCAGAGTTGGATATAATTATATTTCCAGTCGCATGTAGATTCTGCCGCATATTTTATTTATAAAACCCATTCGGCTGGCCATAGGAAATGCTGCTCACTTTTTATTTATTTATTTATATGCGGCGGCAACTTGTTGCTTTTTCGCTTTTTAAGCCTGATCAGCACACAGCAAGGTCGCTGCTTACATGTGCAAAAACTTGCAATGCAATTAAGTCTGGATAAATAGCCAGAAACCAGTCTGATAATAACACTCAGGGCCTTGGCAAGCGGTATGCTAAAAGATTTTATGGTAATGCCAGCGATAATCGCCAGACGCTCAGGAAACGGAAGACGAAGCTAGAATTCTAACTAAAATTCTAGACAATTTATTTATTTAATTTACTATCCTGGCGAAACAATGCACAATACGGAAAGCAATAAGAATACCTGAAATATTCATTTTATTCATTTAACACATTTATTTATGGCCACCTATCACGAAATGCTGTATCATAATCTTTATAAAATTATGCTTTTTATTTTGTTTAAAATGATTAATTGAACTAATGCAGAAAGAAGAAAAGGTCAATCACCAAACCAATTATATTTATCATAACACAGATACGGCATATAACAGCATATTTGTTTACACTTTTGAGATAACAATTGTTTTAAGCCTATAACTCTTGCCTCGCAATAAAAAAAAGTAATTATGGCAGTTTTTTAAATTGCTGATATAAGTCAAAATTTTAAAATGAGCGGTAACTTCAGTAAAAATAATTCAATAAAACTTGTTTACTTAACAAAGCTTTTTTATCTATAATATTCTCATATCTATATATCAAATAATTACCCAAAAGATACTTAGATGCTAATGCATATTTCCCCCTTCTTGTTTCACATGGCTAATTGTTAGAAATTTCACACATCGAGGTTTTGTAACTTATAAACTTTAGATGCGGTCGATGGAGAACAGACCATGACAGATATTCGCCAGGAAAATTTGTCCGTATAACACTCACACGTGATAATTACTTGGCTATGCAAATTACAGATACATATCCCCTGCAAAAAGAGGGCATATTTCAAGCACCAACACCTTCCAATTTTAAAATCCAAAATAGTCGCTAAATATAATTAATGGTTAGGCATTTAAAGCTATATTAAAGAAAGTATACAAAAACTATTTATTTTAAAGTTTATTTTAAACAAAAATAAATCATCCCATTTTGCTTTGCGTGCTCCAAAAATATATTAAAAGTATTTCAGTAGACATAATTTTTGTTGAACTTGTTAAATCATAATTTATATGTTAAGTTTTTTTTTGAAAGTACTGAACTTACAATTGTGTGCTGTTCAAATGATTTATTATAATTTAGGGTATTTACACTTCCTTTTGTTTGTTTTTTCTTTGCGTTTTCACTTTCATCGGTTGTTGTGGCTGCTTTTGCCAACTCTTTTTGTGTTTCCCATTCGGCTTTACAACTGTGTTGTGAGAAATATAGTATTTTGTATGGAAAATTTGTCCAGCGCTTTTGTTTTGCTCCGTCCTTTTTATTTTAACCAGCCCTTTTTGAACACCATTAATGACTACGTCAAAAAACGTGCCAAGAAACCTCAAAAACCAGAAACGTACCAAACAAAAACCCAAAAAGCACAGAAAGAAATTATGATCGATTTGATGTTTAGAAACTTAATTGGGTATTATAATTTCAGAATCAAATGTTAACTTAATTCTGACGAAGAAATTTTTATGAACTTTTTACCTTATAACCAATCTTTAAACCCATTTATTTTTATGAATATTTTCGAATAGGGAATTAGTTTCAGTCGACTTGGGACATTACGAAATATAACTTTATTTCAAAAACTTATTAAAAATTATAAAGGGTTACTAACCAATGTATAATTGAAATTGGTTAGTATTCTATTTGGTGAACAAAAATAAGAAAACAACAGCGATTGAAAACAGCTGTTGCTGCTTTGATGTTGCAAGTTGCTGCAGTGCCAATAAAGGTGGGAAAAAGCAACCAAGAAACAACTAAAATAGCAAAAATAGGAAATAACTTGGTGACTTACTAACCACGATAAACGTGTTGTTATTGTTTTTATTGCCGCCGCTTCTGGTTCTTCTGCGCTGGTATTTCTTTTGTTTTTTTCTTTTCTTTTAAAGGTTTTTCGGTCACTGCAATTGTTTACTTTACACACCGTTTTTTATTTTACGATTTTTCTCCTCACTTCTTGTTCCGCTTTTTCTAGGTGTTTTTTTCTCTATCGCACAGTTAGCACAGGTATAAAAAAATTCAAGAAGATTTCGGTTTAGTTTTTGGTATGGTACAGTAAATGCCGCCTGAGACGTCCGCCAACAAAGCTGGCCGCAATTGAACTGAGCTTGACTAAACGCGCTTACGGAAAATAATTTAATTCCGCTCCCAGTTTTGCCGCCGCTGCCGCTGCCGACGTCGCCGTCGATCGTCGACGTCGATCGCCAACTTCCAACTTCGTTGTTGTTGCATGTGGGCGGCATCATGTTGCTGCCGGTCGTCACACCAGCAACATGTTGCCCGCTTAGCTCATGGGCGTACGCAAGGGGGTTAAGACTTAAACGTAACCCTCTAGAAACTGTAACACATCAAATATACTTAAACTATAATAAAATATTCATTAAACTGAGACTTTATTTTATATAAGAAATTACACTTAACAAATTGAAGTACCAGTAACTGGCATCTTGAACTAAAGTCTATGAGTGCTGCTTAAAAATACAACCATTATTTGACCTCGAGTTGACAGAACTTATTAGTTAATAGTTTACGTTAAAGCACAATTAAACAGTTATTTAAAAAGACAGGTATATTTATCAAGGTAAATAGACCCCCTTTAAAAAATAACCTTACACTCTCCTGCTCCTAACTGTTCCTTTGTCTGTGGCTTTATTTTCGAGTTAAGAGTGCGTGACACGCAGATAAAAGATTTAATTAGCCTATCTTTTCGGCAAGAACTAATTGCAGCCCTGTACCATCGGACAACTGTACTTATATCCAATGAAATGCCAAAATGTATATAAAAACCCTTCCCCAAACACTGAATCCCCGAATTAGTGCCAATTTCGAGAGCCAGTCGGCCGTGTAAACGGGCGCACTTTGTACCTGGATTGGAGCGATTCCGGTGCCTACGGTAATGGTTCGGAACCCAAGAATGATATAAACACGCCAATGAGTTGACAGAATTAATGAAATCCAGGGATTACCCTTCGACATAAACATTTATTTTAAAATATTAATTTTAAGTATATGGATTAGGTGTGTTTTAAACTGGTACTTCCGTTTAAAACACACCTAATGCATATACGCTTTTTTTGAACATTTTGCTATCCGAAAACATTTTGTGGCGTTTTCTAAATTATTGTTTAAACTTAATTGGGTTTTAAAAATATTTTTAATAATGCAATTCAAAGATTCAAAGGGTTAATATAAATATGAAAAATATTCAACAAATATAACATTATTCTATTTAAAAATGCAATTAAATTGATAATCAGAATTATTAAACTTGCTTGCAAAAATCGGCTAGCAATCACAGTATAATTTGCAACGCTTAAATAATATATGGGTAAACAATATTGGAAAATGTTGTTCATTAGCAAAACACCAAATTCAATCAGATTTCAAGAAACTAACTATGATAGATATAGAATATATAAAACTAAAACGGGCAGTGCAGTGCCAGTGCATCTGAACCGCATTTATCGCAGAATTTAAATCACATATGGAAATTCCTGAGGGAGCAAGCAAACAATTGTCAAGTGCTTTTAAATCTAAAATCAAGAACCCCAGTGATCTGCGTCACCGCCCACTCGTTTGGACCACGTCCAGGTGCCCCCGCCTCCCCCCCGGAATTATGCCAACCAGAACCGTTCTCATTTTCAGTCGGTACTCCATGTCCATGTCCACGGACCCAGACCACGTTAAAATGTCCAAAAGTTGCGCTTGGCTGCGTATCAGTTGCTCATAATGCCCAAAGTCATTATGGCAAAAATCGTAAAAAAAAAAACTAAACGCTTAAAATGCTGAAATTAAAATTATATATCTGAATTATGAAATTGTTTATCGGAATTAAGCGAGGCCCAGAACAAAAACGGCAAACTAACGATGGCAATCTGGAAACCTAAATGGCAAAGAGTTAAGCCAAAGTAATTATAAGTCATAAACAAGCCCGAAACAAAGAACGCAAAACTATGATCCACAGCCAAACAAAAACAATATAACAAATTTTATCTCAAAAACATTCCTTAGGAAAAATATTTTTGCAAACAAAAAGGAAAAATCAGCCCGATTTTTCGGTTTTTCAGTCAAAGCCCTAGAAAATAATTGTCGAATGTTGGAATGGCATACCTCGTTAAACTCGTTATAAAATTTCCAATCAAGTGGTATCCTCAAAAAAAAGTATTTTTTCGAAATTAAAAATCATGATGGTAAGGTAGAGGAGTAATAAACAAATCATTTTCCCTTTAACTCTTTTTCTTTTAAAAATAAATAAAATGCATATATATTACATGTTTCAGCTGAATTTTGAAAAATTATATTTCTAAACAATTTTAAGAACTAAAAAATAAGTGATTTTTTACACCTTCGGCTGGAAATCTCCTTAATATTATTCCGGGTTCAATGGCTAGGTTCATTCACAGTCGATTTCCATTAAGACGAAGCCATTATTATAGACTTCTCCGAAATAAATATAGGTAGCAAGTCGGTTGACTCAGCTTCTGGGTTCCCTGTGTTACCGCAGCACCCGACGTCAACTCCCACTTAAGGCACGCATGCGACCCCCTTGAAATAGAGAAGGGTTAATGGGGGAAATGGGAGGTTCAAGTGTCGTTCGCTAACTTCAATCTGTACTTAGCTGCTTTTCAATCAAGCATTATTTAAAGTCTGTAACTAGTTATTCAGAAACTATCTTTATACTATTTGCACACCTTTTCCATGCGGAACTAAACTACTTAAAGGAATTTATTAAGATACAATAACTTATATATAACTGTTTTTATATAATTTATTCAAAGTATAAAATTGTGGAGACATATTTTCTTTGGACATGTAAAGGTCATTTTGTTCTTTACATGAAATGTATTTTATAAGAAATCTTCTCATTCATATATTTTTATATCACATGTCTTAACTTTATTCTAAAACGAGGACGGAAGCTAACTTCGGCAAGCCGAAGTTTTAATACCCTTGCAGACTTTGCCGAAGTTGCTAAAACTGAAAAAGTAGCGAAAGGAATAAGATATACATAAATAAACTAGATTTGCGTCGTTTGATGTCAATTGCTTTTATACTGCAAAAATGTCATATAAAAAAGGAAAAAAAGGGATACTTTCGCAGCCTTTAATTATTTTTCCTACGGAAGCTATAAGAAATAGACGTCCGATCGGCAAGCGCTTTTACCCTAATCAAGATATGCGTAAATAAATAAGACTTGGAAAAATGTATGTCAGTAGCTTACACACTACGCGAAAAATTCAGAAAACCAACAAATTTGGACCGATTTCACCCTGTTGTTCCTATGGGTGCTGTAGGATATAGACGTCCGATCGTCACGTGCTTTTACCCTAATCAAGGTATGCATAAAAAAATACGATTTGGAAAGATTCATGTCAATTGCTTATATACTGTGCGAAATATCCTAAAAATCATTAAATTTTAACCGATTTCACCGTATTGTTCCTATGGGAGCTATAGGATATAGACGTCCGATCGCCAAGCGCTTTTACCCTGATCAAGGTATGCATAAAAAAATAAGATTTGGAAAGATTTATGTTAATAGCTTTTACACTGCGCGAAATATCTTCCATTCTTGAAAGTTATATCCGATTGTTCCTATGGGAGCTATAGGATATAGACGTCCGATCGCCACGCGCTTTTACCCTGATCAAGGTATGCATAAAAAAATTCGATTTGGAAAGATTCATGTCAATAGCTTTTACACTGCGCGAAATATCATCAATTCTTGAAAGATATATCCGATTGTTCCTATGGGAGCCATAGGATATAGACGTCCGATCGGGGCGATTTTCAAACTTGATCTGCGTACACATGTTTTAGGACGAGTGTGAAAGTTTCAGATCGCTAGCTTTTAAACTGAGCTCGCAAACGGTATTGAAACAGACGGACAGACGGACAGACGGACAGACGGACATGGCTATATCAACTCAGGAGGTGATCCTGATCAAGAATATATATACTTTATAGGGTCGGAAACGTCTCCTTCACTGCGTTACAAACTTCTGACCAAAATTATAATACCCTCTGCAAGGGTATAAAAAAAAATAAGCATCCATTTGAACCTTGTTAAACATAAGATATTGTGCAATCACAAAAAAATTGAGTGACTTTAAAATTAGTCTGCATTGTTTTTAAATTAAATATTTAATTATTATCAAGTTTTTAGCAAGTCTCTTGTATTCCCTTAATCCGGTTGGAAAATAAAAATAATCTCGCCGTTATCTAGCAATTACCTTAAATGTTAGTCACACCGTTCACAAAGGCACTTAGTTTTTTTAAGTCCATTTATATTCCTTAAATTGTTCAAGGCCCTGTATTGTATGGTATGTCAACTTTATGGCTATCTGTATAAAAAATCGTTTTATTATTTAAGTTTGCTTTCTGTAGACATTATCTAAAGGCCATGGTACATTATAGAAATGTATAAAAATCGTTGCAATCGTTTATAAAATATTTCCCCTTCTCTATAGAAAAATAAGTCTTGCTAAATTATATATATATGGATAAAAATCGTTAGAATAAACCTTAGTTAAGCACTTTTATCATATTGAAGATCGTGAAATTCTGTTTAAATTAGCGGGGGGATGAGCTTAGTGGGCGGTGCCCTTTGGCCCCGGCAAGGTCACGACTGCAGCCAATCAAGCGCTGCCGTTCGAGCCGGGGTCGAGAGTCAAGCGACAAAAAAAAAAGGTAATTGCCAGAGGCGCTAACAAGTTTCAGGTGGCTCTGTAGATTCTGCCGCTGTCTCGGCGTAATCACATTTCGCAGTTGTCAATAGAAGGGGCAGGCATGTACTTATAAATCTTTATATGTTACTATTTGCCGAGTTGGACAAACAACACACGGGAGGGGGAGTGAATGCCACTTAAGTGCCATTATAAGACTACGATTTGCAATATAGACAAGTCATGATTACAGTTATCTCCACAACCGGTTTTCGTTTTTCTATATATTTAGTGGTGTATAACAAGGTAAAGGCGAATGCATATCACTGCTGCAGCAGGTTGAGATATTCTTCCAGGATTTTTTCCTCCTGAATTAGGGGCAAATCCAAGTAGTCCATATCATTCTGGCTGAGGTCGGAGTTGAACCGCTCATATGCCTTGTAGGTCTCAATTTCGGAGCGTGCACGTTTCAAAACCGCATCGATGATGGGTGACGGAGGAGCCAACTGCGCCTGGTTGGATGCACTCGAAGTGGACGGACCATCCAAATCCTGGCCTTTAGCGCCAATCATACGGCTAACACGCTCCATTGTCTGCTTTAGCTCATCTTCGCTCTGAAATGCGCGCAGCAGGCATTCGATGGCCCGCTCAATGTCATTCGATGAGTTCTCGAGGGCCACGCGAACATTGTCCTCGTTGAATCCCAGCTGGAGGAGATGATCCAACTTCGCCGTGTCGGCAGATGCACGCGTCTGGGGCAAAGCGGCACGCAGCTCTTCGGACTCGGTCTGCAGCAGTTCCACCTGGGAAAATGCCACAATATTCGGACAAGAATTGAATTAAATATAGCCAAACAAAAAAAGAAATAAACTTGCTTAAATCTTTTAAAATAGAAAGAAATATTTTGACCTACTCACCGCTTTGGGTACATCGTTTTTGGAACGCTGCAAGGCTAGAGTAGCCAGTCCCCTCTCGAATCCCATTTCGGTGAGGGTGCAGACACTGCGGGGATTAACCCAGTCGCTTTCGTTGGCATTGGAGCGCATCAAACGGCGCTGCAGAGCCCGCTCCGCCTTCGATTGCTTGCGGGCATCCTTGAGCTGCTGACGACGCTCCTGAATGAACTGCACCGCTTGCTCCACGTTGCCGTTGCCCTGGCAGGAGCGCAGAGCCAGCCGAGCCTCCCTCTCCTCGAAGCCCATCTCCACGAGAAGAGCCAGTTGATCGGCGTTGACCTTGAGCTCCCTCAGCAGCATGTTGGCCGCTTCGAAACGCTCGAAGGCCTCATCACGACGGTTCTGGTGGAACATCACCACGCCCTGGAGCAGCTGCAGGCGCAAGATCAAGGCTCTTTCGGGGCAGGCCTTGCCCTTCAGCGAATACAGCCTCTCGAAACTCTCGCCATAGCTGCGACGGAAATTGCGACCGCAGACGGCCAGACGTCGCTCGGCATCCGGCAGCTGGGTCACGTTCTTCAGGCAGAGATAGCACCACACTATGTCCAGGTTGAGCAGGGCATAGTTATCCACCGACTCGAGGAACTGCGAATCGCAGGTGGCAAAGGACTCATCGGCCTCCAGGAGCAGGAGCAGAGCCTCTTCGAAATCCTCGCGCAGCATGGCCGCCCGCGCTTTCTCGCAGAATCCCAAACCGATGAGCAGGGCCCGATTCTCGGCGGGCGGCAGAAAGACGGGGCTGCCATTCTGGTCCTCCATCTAAGGGGCAAAGAAACAATATTTAATTTTCTAATTTTCATTTTAAGTTATTAACCTAATATGAACATTCATAGCTCTAACTGTGCTGTAAAACTGTTTACGATAGACTTTATTTTGTTTAAATGAATTATAAAAAGTTCTATGTAGGTTTATATCTTCAATTTTATTGTCAAGATCTCGTTATCAATATTTGGCAAAAGTTTTGCAACTAATGTTGAAGATTATTCATTGTTATTAACGTTATTGTTTTAAATATTTGTTCTCTTACTTCAAATCTGTAAAACTTTTGTTAAAGTTTTTTTTGGAAAGGATAGTGTTTTTAGTAATGAAAGTTCAATCAAAATCAATTGGTTTTCCGATCCACTCACCTCAACGAGACGATTTTGCGAGGACACCACAGCCTCCACATCGGCCTTGACCCGATTGATCCTTTCGTAGAGGGCTTCACTGCGATTATTCCCATCGCCCACGATCACAATCAACTGCTGGTTGTTCTTCAGCTGTTGAGCAGCCAGAGTGGCATTGGCGGCCACCATCCTCCCGGCAGCGATACACTTTACGTGGTTCCGATCCGGCAGCTGGAGTTTCTCGGCTATAGCCGCTTGCAGATCGGAGCCCAGGCAATTCAGGTCACACTTGATGTCCAGCATGTTGGTGGTACCGCTGCGGTTGTCAATCCGACGAACCTTGAACGTGGCCATTCCGGTAGCGGAGAACTCACGGCGGGCGGCCAGCTTACGCAGTGCATTCTCCTGCAGCTCCGTCAAAATAAACTTGCAGCGGCTCAAATCGAAGCCCAGAAAGCGGGAGTACTCCTTGGCCAGGTTCTATAATAAAATAAGGTTTTTACAATATTGATTCATTTTCATTTGTGGCGCATTTATACTTATTATTACAATTTTGAATACTTTTTGCTATTGAAAATAAGGAAATTAATATAAAATGATTCTCGCACGTATTTCTGCACTTGAGTTTCTTACCTAATAAATCATAAATATTACTAAATATTTATTTTAACGCCTCTCAAAAATACTTCACATAAGTATGTATTTTCACCTTTTAAATCATACTAGGTAATAAATCGTACACCTGGAAACCGCCTATTTGCTTACTGATCATTATTAACATATATAGTATTTATTTCTTTATATGTAATTATTGTACGTTTGTCAAATTGCTAATAAATAAAATTATGAATTCTGAAACAACTGCTTCGAATTTTAAGAACATTTTGCAAATATATTAGTGTATTGTAAAATAGATTTAAAATGACTCAATATTGATGTCAGAATTTTCTGAGTTAGAAAAACCTTCACACAATATTGATTAGTCAGTCATATTATCTATGGTTCCTAAAAATGTACCTGTATCTAAAATAATGAATATTTGTTAGCCGAGTATAAGTACTCCCATTAGGGTTGTAAGCCATTCGAATTTGTTATTTTACACCCTATAGCTTTAAATTACGATGGAATATAAATTTGAAGTCACAATATTTGAGTTAAAGATTTTTGGAATATTATCAAATCTGCCAACTGAATACCGAATCAATTTTTAAAACGTAAAGGATATTTTTCTAAGAAAAAATATTTTTGGAGCAGATTCCAGAACTAGAATTCATTTTCGGCGGTTCGAATGGTGGAAGCTCGACATGTGACGAATCAAATAAATCAGATTTGGTCGAAATTCGTACCTCCAGGGCGCCCTCAATGCTGCCGAGATCCTCCGAGTAGTACGGTTCCTCCCAGAGCTTTACGCCCTCGTTTTGGAGGCGTGCCCGCACATGGATGAAGATGTTGTCCAGATGCGACATCCCCGATGACGATGCAAAAATTCTGGTGAAATAAATCAAGTATATATAGCTTTTTCGACCCACGTCACAAAGAAAGTCATAATATTTACCTTCGATATGTTATTGTTCTTCTTCTTCCACGGCGCACATGTGTTTTTTGAGCGCAACAACAAAGAAAGATGCGCAATCAGCGATGTTTGCCTCTTTTGCTGGTCTCACTGTACTTAAATGCCAATAAACGGCCTGTAACTTTAATATGTATATGTATGAAAAACGAGCATAATTTAACGTGTGCACTTTTCTCAACAGTATTCTAAATAAATTTAATATGCGAGAAGGCAAATGCAAGGCGAGTGGTTATCAAAATGTGGACTATCGATACAAACGTATCGAGCCTCATCGCAGCCAGCTTAATGCCGGCTGGAAAATATCGAACGAAACACTCGCAAAGGCTGACTGATATGTATTAAGTAGTAAAGCGAATTCATTTAAAAATGTATTAATTGTTAATATAACTAACTAAATATTGTCCAGGGGTAATTGTTTACTTGTTTTTTTATTGATTTTTTTTTCTAACATGTACTAACTATTTGGGGTTTTTTTTATAATTTTACTTAGCCATAATCTTATATTTTAATAATTTGTCCGATAGTGCGGGTAGGAGTTACATAGCACTTTAAGTTTTGTAAGCATGCTATCGATAATCATACCCGATTTGGATGATATTCTATTTTAAATTTAAATTCAAACTTAAGAAAATTACATTTATAACGATTTGATTAAGAACGTGGTACTTATATACAAATTAATTTTCATATCTGTAATTATATGGCAGTTAAATTTCTTAGAACTGACTATTTTGTTATGTTTCTTGAATTATTTAAATTGGAATGAAATAAAAACTTAACTTCTAAGTAATATAATTTTTTAATAGTATTTCCTCACTGAAATATTTAAATAAGCTAATTGTGAAATAGTAATTATTTTTATTAATAAAATGTTGTCACTTATAAATTTTTAGTGATAATTGTCTATCTATAGAAAAATCCCTTTTGTTTGTTTAATACACCTAGTTGTGAAATAGGCAATAGCCGGGTGATCCTTCACCGCGACAGCTGACTCCTTGGAGGACCAACCCCCGGTGGGTCGACCTCCTCCCTTATTTTCCAGGTACTTTCCAGGTGGCAGGGCAGGCCTCGTCGCACCTGTCACAATTTCGCCGGTGGTGAGTGTGTCTCGCGCTTGTCTCGCCCCTGAAATTTCAGTTACTCGCACACTGCGAAAGCACGCGGCGGTCACAAGGATATAGCCGCGATAAATAATATATATCAATACGTATATAGCGATTCGATCCGATTCCGATTCCGATCCCGATGAAGACCCGCCAACTGCCGCTGCCGACGACGACGACGGCCTCGTTCCGGGCGAAGCAGCGGGATGTGGGCGGCCGGCTGGGCGGGATGCCCTGCGAGCGGGAGCGGAAGCACGAGGCGGCCAAGAGGGAGCGGGAGGAGCAGCTGAAGCGGGAGCGGGAGAGGGAACGGGCCACGGCAGCGGCTTCAGCGGCAGCATCGGCGGCGGTGGCCACAGCGGCACAGCGGGTGCGCCAGCGGATGGGAGCGGACAAGGATCCCGCCAAGCGGAGGACATCGCATCCCAGGGAGCGACAACAGGCACTCGGCAGAGCATACGGACCCGGAGGAGCATCAGGTGCAGCTGCAGGTGAGCTAATGGGCCCAATTTCCTTTCTTTCCTTCTCGTCCTAAAATATAAACTCTTAAAATATAAACCAGTATTTTTTATTAAAAAACAAACAACAAATTTTTGGAAAAACCCAAAAAAAAATCTATTAAAAATTATTTGTTTATTTCCATTCAATTGTTTTATTATACCCTTGCAGAGGGTATTATAATTTCAGTCAAAAGTTTGCAACGCAGTGAAGGAGACATTTCCGACCCCATAAAGTATATATATTCTTGATCAGCATCACCAGGAGAGTCGATCTAGCCTTGTCCGTCTGTCCGTCCGTCTGTCCGTCCGTCTGTCCGTCTGTCCGTCTGTCCGTCCGTCCGTTTCTACGCAAACTAGTCCCTCAGTTTTAAAGCTATCTGCTTGAAACTTTCCCAAAAGTTGTCTTTCTATTGCAGGTAGTATATAAGTCGGAACGAGCCGGATCGGGCCACTATATCATATAGCTGCCATATAACTGAACGATCGGAAATGCCATAACTTTGATGTTTTTTAAGTTAGGAAGTTGGGATTTTCTATGGGTTTTATTTTTGGCCAATCAATCCGACCTACCAAATTTCATAAGGATCGGCCGACTATATCCTAAAGCTGCCATATAACTGAACGATTGGAAATGACATAACTTTGGTGTTTTTAAAGTTAGGAAGTTGGGATTTTTTATGAGTATTAAGAATGCATCATATGAATAACCGATCCGGTTTTGGAGAATATAATTTACAGAATATTCTGCAAGGGTATATCAACTTCGGCTCCGCCCGAAGTTAGCTTTCTTTCTTGTTTTTAAAGAAACTTAAAAACAGAATTGATATGAAAATAGTGTTCCAATAAGGACTTAAACAAATTTTATATTGTATATATTTTTAATCGAAGCAGTCGGAAATCGCACAGGAAGAGGACCAAAAAGAGAGGCACTTACACCGAAGTTCGTGGAGCAGCACGATCAGGATCAGGATCCGGAGAACGACCAGGATGATGCCTATGATGCCAAGGCCGAGCAGCTGAAGAATCAACTGGAGGAGCTGGCCGCGATGTCGGAACACGAATTCGAGGTGAAATTCCGGCAGTGGCTCGACCAGGAGGGGATTGCTCGGGAAATGCACTCTCATCTGCGGGTGGAACTCATTCACTGCTTCAACAACACGGCTCTGGGTAAAGTTTAATTAAGAATGGAACAGACTATCTGGTCTAAAAGTTTTTAGGATCTGATATCATTCAATTGAATGGTCTTGAAATATTTTTAAACATTTTAAACGAATAAATTATTAATTAAATTAAAATATTTAAAGAAGAATATATTCTATATCAGCATATATTCTTTATCATGTCCGTTTGTCCGTTTGTTCGTTTGTCCGTCTGTCCGTTTATCCTTTTGTCCGTTTGTTCGTTTGTCCGTTTGTCGGTTTGTCCGTTTGTCAGTTTCTTCCCAAACTGGTCTCTCAGTTTTAAAGTCATTTGGATGAAACTTTGCCAAGAGTGTTTCAAAACACATTAGTTTCTTAGAGTTTCAAAAGAACGGATTTAATTTTATACAAATCGGATGACTTTACCATATGTCTGTTATAGAAACAATCGAAAATAGTTTTGAGATAGTCCTTTTATAGATTATTTAATGTTTGCAACATCTGCCAGGATATAATATAGACTTTGTTTCCCAGCTTTTTCTCAATATTTTTACCACCATGTATGATCATGGGGATAAATGCCCCATTCGATCGGTTTCCTTTAATGAAATCCCTTATTTTGCCATTTTGCCAGGCCAGTTGCTGAGCAAGGCCGCCGGAGTCCAGATGGCCCACTCGCACTCCCTGCTCCTCTCTCCGCTGGCGATGATGCTGCACACTCTGGTGGCGGAGTTCCTGCACTCCCAGAACTGCCACTTCACCCTGTCGGTCTTCTGCAGCGAGACGCCGCATCGCCACAAGTTGCCCGACTTTGGCAGTCGTCCGGAGTTCCGATTTCAGACGGAGGAACTGCAGCAGGTCCTCACCGCCGTGCTAGGTGGACAGGGGGATGGGGAGGGGGAAGGGGAAGGGGAGGAGCCAATACAGGATCCGGAACTGGAACAGATAGTGGTGGCCCACTACGAGGAGGATCTGGCCGGCCAGACGCAGTGCTTGCTGCTGGCTCTAGTGCGATCGCTGGTGGAGATCAGGAGGTCCTTTCCCGTTCAGAGGAGGGAGGAGCAGGAGGGGGAGAAGGACCAAGAAAGGGAACCAGTGAAGGAGCAGCAGAAGGAGCAGAAGAAGGAGCAGGAGAAGGAGCAGGTGAAGGAGGAGCCCCCCATTCCAGTGATCCTGCAAGATTCCTCCTGTCAAACCGACCCGGCTGCCTGCCTGGAAGCCCGTCCCGAGGTGGACACCAGTGACCTCTACCAGACGGAGGAGCACGAGCTGGTCCTGGGCGCTGACGGCCGGAGTGTCTTCGTGGGCGCCCGCGTCTCCCAGTCGCTGCACTCCGTGGAGCAGCAACTGGGCCAGCTGATGAAGAACGTCCGCCAGCTGGCCAAGTCCTGTGCCCCGCCCGTCGAGGTGATATCCTCCACAGGCTTCGAGGAGCTGCTGAAACGGGAGCTGCGCGAACGGGAGCGCCTCACGAAGGCGGGACAGGCCTTCAATCCCGGCGAGACGGTCACCAAGCTGGCAGGAGGCGTCGACGAGAGGGAGGTGGAGGAGGAGGAGGAGGAGCCGGTGGCGGGGGACGATGTGGTCTACTCCGATTTGGGGCCCATCCAGTTGCCCGTGCTGGGCGTGGCCATTCCCCGCCTGCCGCGCCTCCATCCGGAGCAGCTGGCCAGCCTGGCCGTCATCCGGCAATCCCTCGAAAAGGTCCAGAGGAAGGCCCGCCGGCCGCAGGGCAGGATGTACGTGTCCGTGGAGCGAATGGAGACCCTGGTGGGCGACGTCTGCGGCTGCGTCCAGCTGCTGGGCAACGTGCTCAATCTCTCCATGGAGCAGGAGCACGCCGTCGGTCTGCACAAGGGCTTCCAGAGGGGCTATCGCGAGGGCTTCGCCCATGGCCACTTCATGGGTCTGCAGGAGGGCCAGCAGCAGGAGCAGTTCGAGCGGAAGAAGCGGGAACGGCCACCGCCGGAGCGGGAGGATTGCTCCGTCCAGGTGGAACAGCTGCCCACGACAAGTAGGGCCATCCAAACCACGACGCAGTCATCGACCAGGACGAGTGTCCACACCCAAACGGATCGGAAGCACCTGGTGGACGCATGGAGTCAGGCGGACCTGCGGACGGAGTCGCAGCCAAAGTCCTACGAACAGTGGATCCACGAGATGCTGAACAGCTCCAGTGGCCAGGTGTTCCTCGAGCGGGTGGAGCTATCGCTGAACAAGGCTCTGGAGCTGCAGAAGGAGCGGCTGGACGAGCTCTACCAGGTGAAGCTGCGCCACCAGGCCGAGATGCTGCGGCTCAGCAGGCGGCAGAACTCCTGGCGGGTGAGTCTCTGGGGGATTGCTAATGTACCATTGACCTCGGATTTCATGGGATTATGTCCGGATGGCTGAAAACCAATTCCGATTTATGTTAAAATATTAAAGAATATTTAACATAGTTTACATATCCTCCGCAAATAGAGAAATATTATCCAAATAGGCATTCTGTTTGAGCCATTAACTGTTTTAATGTAACCAAAAATACGCCAAAATCAAACAAAAAAGTTGGACTATTAAACATTTGGAATAGCGAATTCAAAAATTAATTAATATTAATTAAAAATACAGATGTATAGTGCAGAATTATTGGTTAATTATTTAAATTCCACCTTAAGGCTGGCATCTCCCATAAAAGCTAAACTATTTCAACATAGTGTTAATAGAGTTATACAAAAATTAATAGTAATATATATATACTATATTACATATACATATATTTATATATGTCTTGTTCTTAAATAATAATTTCCCTATAGATCCCAAATTGTAAAGAAATTTAATTTCCAATTATTTTTACTGCTCTTAATAACTCTTCTTCAAAGTATTATATTTTTTTGTTACCCAATTTTTAACATATTTTAAACATATTTGGTCATATTCCGCTTCATATTTTTACACACATGATTTTATATCATTCCAAGTGATATATCTAAGTAAATAATCGATGTGTGCTTTTTCAGACACTGTGCAAACGCGTGGAGCGGGACTCGCAGTCGTCGGTGGAGGCGCGGGATCTGGTGCAGAAGATATTCCGGCTGCTGGAGCACTACGAGTCGCACCACCACCAGCTGGCGGAGAAGATCCAGCAGACGGAGATCGCGGCGGAGCAGGCGGCCCGCATTCTGCCCATGTGGACGGAGGGATCGGTGAAGGGCACTGCTCCTGGCAACTGGAACTCCGCCATGTCGTCCACGCTCACTTCCAGTGGGATCTGCACCCCGGTTCCAGATCGAATCGCCATCGAAGCGGCTGCAGTGGAGGTGGATAGGCCCCAGGAGGATAGGGCATTGGTGGAGCACCCATATCCCGGTCTAGGCTATCCCTGTCAATTGCTGGCCCTGGCTCCTCCAGGTGGAATTCCAGTGGCAGGCACCTTGGTGTCCGTGATTCCCCGACTTTCTGGTACTTTCCCCAAGGATCCTGGTCTTCCTCTCCCGCTGGTGACCACTTCCAGGACCAATAATGATCCACCAACTGTAGCCAGATCTGTTCCTGCTGCAGAAGCCACTGTGGCTCATCCAATCCCCAGCAATAGCAATCCTCAAGCTGCGGAAGTGGCCATATCCTGGGATTATGCCCGTGAAGTTCCTGCATCCATTGATTCACTACCTCCGGAAAATATTCCCAGGTAGGTTATTTGATTCGATATATCTCTTATGCTGAAACTAATGATGTGTTTCCAGAGACACTGTGCCTGTGCCACCAGGACCTCCTCCTCCTGATCCCCCGAAGCCTTCAATGCACTCGGTGGCCACCAATACGATAGCACCACTGCCACTTCAATTGACACCACTAAAACCATCTGCCGGCAAATCCTCGCAAGGTCCCAGCTTCGAGGAGGCTCTACTAAGTGCCAAGTACGTTTTTAAATTTCCATTTCTGAATATATATTTTGTTATACTTTGAAAAACAAGCAACCCATTTTCAATATAGTCCAAAACAAATGCATAAAAATTACGAAAAATCAATCCAAAAATAAAAAAACAAACTCATTTTTCGAAAATTTGGAAAGGGGTAACATCATTAAAAATGACGAAATACCGACCCAAAAAAAAAAATTTAACTAAAAACACAGATTTTCAGAGAATTAAACCACAAACATTTTGAGGTATGCCACTTCAAAATTGGATGTCTGTAAGAAAAGTTATGAGCTTGGAAGTGCAGATTTTGGGCCCTTTTCTGCAAACCGATTTTTCGAAAATTTGGAAAGGGGTAACATCATTAAAAATGACAAAAAATTGACCCAAAAAAAAAATTTAACCAAAAACACAGATTTTTAGAGAATCAAACCAAGATCATTTAGAAGTATGCCACTTGGAAATTGGAAGTCTGTGAGAAAAGTTATGGCCTGAGAAGTGCAGGGTTTAGGTCACTTTTCGGCAAAGTCATTTTCCGAAAATCATAAAAAATGATAAAAAATCGATCAGAAATTACAAAAAAAGTTGAGAACACAGATTTTTAGGGAATTAAAACAAAAACAATTTAGGGTATGCCACTTTAAAATCGGATGTCTGTAAGAAAAGTTATAAACTTAGAAGTGAAGTTTTTGGACAGTTTTTTGCAAAGCCGTTTTTCGAAAATTAGGATAATGATGTAACCATCATGAAAATGTCAAAAGAAAAGTTATGGACTTAAATGTGCACATTTTTGGTCACTTTTATGCACATCCATTTAAAGGGTAATTTAAAATTTGCATTATGAATTTAATTAAAAATGTAATTTGGTCCCACGAAAAGGGGAAATAATTATAAACTGAATTTTGAAATTTATTCACCCAATTTAATTAGGAGCCGCATGCTGCAGCTGGAGCGGGAGAGCGACCTGCTGGAGCAGAGCTTCCTCAGCTACCTGGAGAAGGCCAAGTCTACGCAGCCCTCCGCTCCGAAGTCCACGGAGGAGTCCTCGAAGAGCCGGCGGATGCGTTCCAGTTGCCAGCGGGAACGTGACCAGATGAATCGCACTCTGGACGGCTTTCGGGACTGGCACCGACGCGTTCGCAAGGAGGATGCAGTGAGTCTGGCCCAGCTGGAGGATCTGCAGGGGCAGCGAGTTGTCCCCGGCTCCGTGCTGGACTCCAAGTTGTCCTCGCCGCTGTGGATGTCGGAACAGGAAGAGCAGGATAGCTATCCCTTTACGAATGCCATCACCGAGGCGAGGAGCAAGCTGCTGGGCGAGATCATGCCGGCCAGGAGGACGGCGGCGGAGGAGGAGGTGGAGGGTCAGGGGAATTGGCTGCCGGATTTGCCACCGGCGAACCCAGAAGTCCTCAATCCAATTAAGCGGAGGAGCAGCAATGGCGAGATGAGCCTGCTCCTTCGGCGGGCGAAGGAACCCCTGGGCCGCCTGGAGATCCCTCATCCGCTCCTGGACACCAGCAGCAGCAGCAGCTCCACTCTGGAACTGCCCCCCTTGGAGGCGGGCAGATCGACGAGCTCAAAGCTCCAGCAGTCCATGGCCAAGATGCAGTTGCTCTTTGGAGGCGGAGAGCCAGTGAAACCAGTCGTAGTCCCCATTCCACAAAGGCGCACCACAAGACCTCTGAGTGCACCCACCCCAGGATCGGAATTGGGATCGGGTGGAATGGGGGAGGGTGTGGTGCTACCACCACGACCCCACACGGCGCCCACAGTCCTCCACGCAATCAACGAGCAGGAACCAACCATTCTAAGCCTGGACAGCTCCACATCCAGCTCCTCACTGAGATCGGCGGGCGCAGCTTTTGAGGATCTGGTCACGGGCGCTGTGGTGGCTGGTGGCCAACACCCCCAATCCAGTCCGGAGGTCTCCTACAGCCAGGCCTTCTGGAAACGCATGAATCTGTGAAATAATCAACGAAAATACTCAATAAATATGTTTTAAAAGAATACCTTTAATTCGTATTTTCAAATTTTAAGTACGGCCGGCAAAAAAGGTGACCCCAAACTCCTCTTCAAGAGTCCATAACTTAGCCAATCGAATCCCGATTTCCATTTTACCTTTGACCTCTTAAAGTTGATAATCGGTATTACAATTTATAATTTTTACATTGGGGAATTTAATTTCCCATTCTTACATTTGCTTATTCCAAATTTCAAATGGCTTTCAGAAAGGTTAACCAAAATTGACTTTCAAGAGTCAATTACTTGACCAGTTCCAAGTATCAGATCTTAAAAGGCTTATGGCCTCTTGATCTAATATTCCGCATTAAATAATTTATTTTATTTTAACATTAATTTTGTTACCAATTTTTTAGTTAGCAATTTAAAGGTGGCCCAAAATTCCAAAGACCATAAAGTGGCATACACCTATAAATGTGTGGATCAAACACATATATATAATTTAAAAAAAAACTATTGAGATTTTTCCGGCCAAAAGTGTGCGCTTTTATTAAATTTTAAAGACCTACATATTTCCGATTAAACTACCTTACACTTGTGTATATTTTGGATAAATTTAATGTGGCCAAAATTGTGCGCTTACATTTATGAATTTTTGTTTAACCTGCTGTTGAGACCATCTATATGTTTTGTTGTAAATATGTTTTTTCTAAATAGTTCTTTTTGTTTGCAATAGATATAGATATATTTATTTTTTTTTTGTGTGTCACCTTACTTCCGAAAAAAAAAACACTAGATTTTGGTTTTTGTTTTTTGCTGACTTTGATAAATCCGAGTATGTGGAAAGCTTAGACGGCGGTGCCATTGATGATGTCGTAGGGATCCCTGGTCATGTCCCTATTCTGACCGATGCCGAAGAGATTGGCATGGGAGCGCCGTCGCTCCCGCTCGATCTCGTCCAGATCGAAGGCGTCGCTCACGAAACTGGTCCTCCTCTGCGGATCGTCGAAGGCGAGTCCGCGCTGGAATTTCGGTGGACCTGAGACGGATCCTCCAGCTTGTCCAGTTCCTCCGGCCGCCGAAGTGGGTGTGGGATAAAGCGGCTGGGGATGCTGCTGGTAGCTATTGGAGTAGTTGGACGGCGACGAGGGAATCGCCGTGGGCCACTGCACCTGCCCCTTGGGCGCCGCCTGTTGCAAGGTCAATGTGGAGGACACGAACCGGTTCTGGGACTGCAACTGCAACTGCTGCTGCTGGTTCAGCATCAACTGGGAGAACCTCTGCTGGCTGGCGCTGGAGGGGAATCCCTGGGAGGCCAAGGAGTCCGACGACTGCCGCAAGAAGCAGCGCGGCAGGGTGCGACTCTGGTCGAGATCGGCGGGCGGCGGAAAGGGCATCCGCATCCCCGGATAGCCGCCCACTCCCGGATAGCTGCCATCCGTGTGCAGCGACAGGTTGGAGTTGAGTCGCCGGAGGGGCTGGCCAAAGGAGTCCACGCACATGGACGAGCGACGCGGCACCACCAACTGGGCGTGGTCTGCAAAGGGTCTCGGGTTAATTCTACATTTTATTTTCAAATTAATAAGGCTGGTTAATTCACAGATAAAAGGATACATTTTACTTTTAAATTCATAAAGCATATAATTTAATTTAAACCGAAAGTATCGAGAATGTTTCTTTCATTTAATCTACTAAAACTTAAAAGATTCTGAGTCTCCTAACAAAAAATAATTAATATTAGTCTCAAAACCATTAAAAATAATTACAAAATACTAAATATTTACTAAAGACTACTACACCCAAAAAGAAGATGACCTAACATGAGCTGATTATTACCTAAAATTAAGGAATAATGACCTACAAATTGAGCTTTGGTCATTATTTCTAAATTTGAAGTTAAATGAACTTAAATTTGTAGGTCATTTTGTTTTTTTTTGGTTGTGCATTTCACCCACTTTAAGTGTCCATTGAACTGGTAAGTAACATATAATATCACAGTTCAGAATATTTAAAAACAAAAAAGAGTATTTGTATTTCACCCAATAGAAAAACTAGCATTTAATGAAATATCTTTAAACTTATTATGATAATGTGGAATAATATGGATTGTTTTTACATTACTAGAAATAAATAAATTAAGATTTGCTAAGTGCTATTAAAACAGTTCAAATTCCACTATTACTTTAATGCTGTCTACTATAGGTACACTCAATAACATTATGGTATAATTTCATTGCAAAGGTCAAAAGGTTACATATGTACATATTTCATTTTCCAAATCCTACCTCCCACCACATAGAGGTGATCCTCCTCCAAGCGGAGGAAGCCGTTGTCATCCCCGTCCGCGTCATCGTCATCGTCGCGATGGGGAACCTCCTGGAGCTCCTCCCGCTTGGCCTGCTGCACCTGCTCCTGGTGCTCCTCCTCCTCCTCCTCCGCCTCCTCGCCGCCACTGATGTAGTATATGTTCTTGGGCTTACTACGCATTCCGGCCCGGCGGCAGAACTCCTGGAACAGCTCGTCCTTGGTCTTCCGCAATCCCCGCTTCAGGCCACACAGTCGCGGCTGATCCTCCAGCTGCGTCTTGGATGGCGGATGGTTGGATATCTTGGTGTTCGTATTGGTGGCCATGTTCCGTTGCTGCTTGCGTTTCATCTGGGAGGAGGGTGGTGCCCCCGTTGCACCCGGATATATCTCCGTGGCAGTGGATACCGATCGGGTGAGTGGAAATTCCTGGGGCAGATCAGCGAAGAGAGCTGGAGCAGGAAGGGGATTTGGATCGGGATTGGGAAGGGGTAGCGGAAGGGGAAGGGGAGCGGGAAGGGGCAGAGGCAGGGGAGGAACGGGAGCTGGAAAGGGAACGGGAACAGGAACAGGACCGGTGGACACCGACGCCTCCGTGCAGAGCTCATTCAGCGACTTTGCGAAACTGCGCGAGTGCAGATTGCACTTGGACACCGCTGGCTTCTCAAAGTAGAAACTTAAGTGTAGATTAAAAAGCTTATTAGTACATTCTCTAATTTAAATAGAATACAAAAATAAAATACACTAACAAATTTAAAATTCATACATATAAAAATGGATACAAATTTGTTTTTCATCAAAACCAAAATGAAATAAACCGGCTTTTCAAAGTAAAAACTTAAATTTAGATCATAAAGCTTATGAGTAATAACATTCTCTAATGTTAATAGATTATAAAAATATGTTAGACATACATATATATTCATATATATGTATATTAGTAAACACATTCTCCAATCTTAATAAATATAAAAATATATTAGACACTAAAGAATTTCGAAAAAATATATATAATGTTCTTAAAATACATTGTCTAATGTCAATAAAATAATACATATGTAATAATTCCACATACTTTGTATCTTTATTAAAAACAAAAATGAAATAAAAGAGTTGATAAGAAGTTTAAAAGTGAATATGTTTGGGGACATTCGATTCTTACCGCCTCTCCAGGTCGTTGTGTAGATAGAGGTTTAAGTTCGATCCGGCATTCGGATGTTTGCGACATGCTCCAGGCAGAGTCTGCGTCTGTCCAGGATGACCCATGAGTGCGGCATTCCCGGGGTGAGCCCGTGCCGCATCGTGGACTTGGTGGAGTCGGGCATTGGCGCTCCTCAGGATTCCGTGTGTTGGCTGCGCTGCCGGCTGTGGGTGGTGCGTCGCTTGGTGACCCTGACGCCCCTGGTGACCTCCACTGCTGAGTCCCTCCTGGCTGGCGGTGATGGTGCCAGGTTGCTTGTATCGCTTGTAGGAATCGCTCAGCGGATGCTGACCTTCCTTCAACTTGGCATTGATGATTGCCAAACTAAAGCAGGGCAGGCGCTAAAGAAATATATATCATATATATTATATATAAAGAATATATAGGAAAGTAAAGTAGATTAGATTAGCTAATCCCCGGGAAACCCATCCGGTGTCGGATGCATTTGAGCTGAAAGGTTTCTGCAGTCAGGCGGACGTGCACCATGACCCCCAGGATTCAGGGATGCACTAACAAAAAACTAATGGACATAAATAACAGAAATATTTTACATAAATAATAATTCAAACATTTTTGCAAATATGTTCTTCAAGGTTCAAACATAAACAACCTAAGATTATAAAGTTCAAGTATACACAGAAACTTCAATTTTCTTTTATTATATGTATGTTATCAGAACCAAAACAGGCACCTTGCTTTTGAATCAAAGACAATGTTTGGGAACTTAGTAGACTTGCAATTAATTATTAGCTTCATTGATTTCGAGACATTGCATTCGAGGCCATGTGCCTGTTTTGCTTTTGATATCAGGTAAGGAGTTGTCTACAATAATTAACATTAAGTTACTTAAGATGCCGGTTCACTTGATCCCTTAACAAAGACTTCTATTCCGAAGCAAAGTGCCTGTTAATCACTGATAGCACGTTTACTTGTGCTAGTTAATAATAGAGTAGAGAATTACAATTAAAAGTAAATGCTTTTTTTTACGGATTTAAGATCAAAGTCTTTAAATAAAATACATTTTTGAAGAAAAGAGCAGATTTCCAGCAAAGCAATTAACAAGTATATATATACTTGTGTCTAAAATAGGGGGAAAACAGGCGAAAAACGTAATTTATTTAAAAACAAAATGATTTCATTCATGGAGTCTAAATGAGCTGAAAACCAAACTTTCGTCTCTGGAGTAAATTGTCGATTTAGTATTAGATCATTTTTAAATATCACCATTTGATTATGCAGAGTACTCACACTATAGTATCTTATCTCCTGCAAATTGATGAAGAGGAAAATGTTGAGGACTCCGACGAATTCCGTGATGATGAATCCAAAGACGAAGAGGAAGAAGCTCTGGCCGTAGGAGACCTTGATGAGGGCGGGCTGGAGGGTGGAGCGGGGTCGCAACTTGGAGCCGATTTCCGCCTTCAGTATTGATATATAGGCAATCAGGCCGATCAGCATCACGAGTCCTGAAATCAGGGATATTTACGTGCATATTATCCTGTAAATTATCCTGTTGCACCAACTTACCGCTAACAATAAATAGAATCCCGGCACTGAAATAATACAGATTGTTTTGATGCGAGCATGTGGGTATCAGGAAAACAATAAAACTGATCACCAAAAAGACCCCGGCAGCCAGGAAAATTGGGCAGGACTTGGTGACCGTATCTGTGGAATAGAATTTCGTTAAATCTTAATTAATAAATGAATTATTGTTTGCAATTAAAATGCCTTAAGTCACATGGGCTTTAACAATGTAAAATAACGCTTATCCCTCAGTTCCGTGTTTCTTTTATTAAATGTTCCACTTTTGGCCCGACTTTTGACCTATGCCCTTTCCCTTTTTCTTTTTGTTTTCATTGTCCTGTCAGCAGGTGACAAAATATCCTGCGGCTTAGCAAAAACACGTTGAGATAGAAAACGGGAAAACTGTGGAAAAACCAAAAATCCACTAAAAGCCACTCCCTTTTTTGGCCGACTGTTAAATATTTTTATTTTTCGAAATTGTCACCCTGCGGCCAGTTTGAAATTAGTTTTGAGCGCTGGAACAAAACAAAATTAATGGAAATATTTCAATTCGATGGCCAATTGTGTGAAAATTAATGGAATTTCAACCGTCTCTGGATATTGGTATTTTGGCAAAGAGCCGTCCAGTTTATTTGGCCGGCTGTGAAATGTGGGTGAAAATCGTATAATGGCCATTGAAAATGTCCAACACCCAGTCCACACATTCCACACCCCATCCTTGGGAAGACCACAAATCACTGGGACAAAACTTTGCCGACGGAGGCCAAAGGCCTTTAATTAAAATACATCCAAACTAAAGTTGTATTATGTGCATGTGCGTACTGTGGGCCAACTAACAACAATAAATCAATTTTAATTTGACCCAGTCATCTGAGGAGAAAGTGGTGGAGGGAAAAGGGTGAAGGCATTCACCTGGCTAAATGCCAAATGCCAGTTAAGCTTATTAAGGTTTATTTGCGTCTTAAAACGCGGCAGTTAAGATGGATGCGAAAAGCAGGCCAAAACCGAAGGCCATCAAGTGCAATTGTGCACAGAGAAAAATAGTTTGGTAGCAGGGATGAAAAATTAAGCAATAAACCAGGTATTAAAGAATCAAAAAGCAGAACTGTACTTTAAAAACTATTGTTAATATTACAAATTAGATTAATGTGTATCTGATTTATAAGTTAGTAATGATAGGCACTTACAGGGTATTGCCGCTGTTGAGTCGTGTGGATCCGGTTGGTAGCCCTCATTGGGAAAGTAGTCGATCTTAACGCAATTGTACGAGTCAACACCTGAAAACGGAAAATACTTTAGTATTAAACGTTAGGTTTAATAAACATTTCTATACCTAAAATTTATAAGGCTATTTCGGCTAAAAATATCATTTAAAGCTTAAAAAATATAGAGAGAAAAGGGTTCTTTAGTGTAGAACCTATCCCCAGTATATTTAACTGAAATTCAAATAATAATAACCTAATTCAAATGTTAATATAGAACTCCCTGCCACACAATTCCCAACCCAGATGTAGACAACATACTCCATACTCGCAGTCAGCAAAACAATATATTGGATTCCCCAAGAATCCCAAGATCACGATGCCATTGCCCAAGAAGATGATGAAAACGAAGAACCCATCGAAGCTCCAGGTGGAGCAGCCCCAGGCTAAGAAGCCCAAGGTTAAGAAGCCCAAGGTCAAGACTAAGACCAAGGTCAAGGTAAAGGTCAAGGTGAAGGGCAAGGGCAAGGTGGGGGGATCGGGATCGAGCACCTCGCTGGCGGAACGGGGCAGTGGTGATGGACCCACCCAGGTGGCCGCCCAGCCCAGCCTGGTGGCGCTCCACTTCATGGACATCTCGCTGCGCCACTCCGACGTCCAGCTGCTCCAGTCCGCCCACGAGGGCGTCAACGAGCGGCTGGTGGCCTTCCACTACGCCCACCTCCAGCACCGGCGGTACCGCTCCGAGCCGGACCTGCACTTCCTCAATCCGGCCCTGGTCGCCCGCCTCCGCCACATGGACATGCGCCAGCTGTGGACCCTGGTCCGCGACCGCCGCCTCCACGAGAAGCAGTTCATCTTGCTGCCGCTGGCCACCCACCCAAGGTCGGTAAAAAAAAATATAAAAATAATTAAAAATTCAATATTAATATCAATATTAACTACATTCCAAAAATGTATCTTTTATCTTGACCTATTTTACCGTTCAACACAAAAAAACTGTTCCTAAAATATGTTTTTATTTGTATTTTTTCAAAACCTATTAGGGAGTTCTGAAAACTTCAAAACGTAGACCATTTCCGATCATGTAAAATAGTTATTGTCCTTGATCGGCATGTTTCTAAGCATATACGTATAAAAATCGAAATATTGTCTTTGAGCATGTTGTTTTATAATAGCTGAAAGGGTATATAGACATCGGCTTGGCGAAAATGGCTTTCATACTTTGAGCTTGCTGAATTTTGTCTTTAACATTGCATTTTATAGAAGTTCTCATTTGAGAATTTTACAACATATTGAAATGGCAGTGAAATAGGCTAAAAACAAGCCTTCAATACCTGAACCCCCAAATAAAATTTGGAGAATATAATCTAGGCATATTTAAATAAAATAAAATATTGATATATATACTTCGTTCAAAATTTAAGTTTGTGCTTAGAAGCTATTAAATTGTTCCCGAACCCAATTTTATACTAAAAACTACTTTTGATGGGGCTTTAAAAACGTATTTGCAATTTGTTAGTTCAAAGATAGAGACCTCAAAATAAACCTAAACTCCGCAGAGCCCATGGACACTGGTCCCTTCTGGTGGTTTCTCGTCCGGATGGCAAGTTCTACCACTTCGATTCGCTGGACAACTGCCACTCGCTGCTGGCCTCCTCGGTTTCGGAAACTTTGCGAGCGCCCCTCGAGGCCTGGAAGTTCGTCCTGGTCACCGGTCGCTGTCTCCAGCAGCAGCGCCTATCGGGCAACAAGGACCCCACCTCCGGGATCCACCTGATGTGCATGACCGAGCACGTGGCGGACTACGTGTCCAGGTGTGGCTACGCCTCCAGTTCCCTGCTCATCGCCTGGGAACAGATCTCCGCGATGCGCGCCCACCTCCTCGAGTTGATCCTTTCGCTCGGCGGGATCCTGCCCCCCAAGAGGAGCCACTGAATCCCCTCTCCGTTGCCCCGCATTCGCCCGACTTTCAATCGTTTTTGCCAAATCAAATATAAATTACAAAAATCTAAGCAAGTTACAAAAAATTAAATAAAAATGTTAAGAAAAATTATGTTTTGTTAATTTTAAATCAAATATAAATATTTTTAATATTTAAAGATAAAATAAAAAATATCTGAACAAATTGAAAATGTTTTGGGCCCTAAAGGAGTTTTTGATTTTTTTTCTAGCATCAGATGGAACATTTTATATTTGTTGTTGCAAAAGTTAATCAAATATGTCTTTTTTAAATGTTGTTTGGATGTTTTGTATTTCAAAATACTTAATTATTTTTATAATATTGTAAGGAATATTGTATGTACACAAAATGTATTATTGTTTTAAAACATGCATTTTTAACAAGCAATTAAATGAAATAAATTAAATAATAAATAAAGTTTAGATGTAAATGTTTATATATAAAAATAAAATAAAAACTAGTTTATTATAAAGTGAATGCAAACATCCCAAAATGTGGCTTTAATTACCTTAACCTTCTCTGAAAAATGCAATAAAAGGACAAATGTCAGCGTGGGCCCTAATTGAGTGACGTACTGACTGATTGATTGATTGATTGATTGGCCAGCTGACAGACTGCAGTTTAATTCGGTCTGCCGCCGCCCCAAATTTATTAAATCCGCAAAAATCCAGGTGCACCACATGCTGGCCAAAAAATACCGAAAACCCCATCCACTTTCACCACCGGACTATGTCACCTTTGTCCTCATTTCGCCATGTGTGTGTGGGTCAGTGGGTCTTTCGACTGGATCAGAATGTGGTGCAGGAGCTCACCTGACAGCGTGGTGCACAATATCCAGAGACTGGACTTGGTGAACTTGGTGATGTAGGCGCCGTCGTCCAGGGCATTGAAGTTGGCCGTCCCGTTGTAGTTGGCGTTGGGCAGCTTCTCCTCCGTGAAGAGCCACTGGGGTCCTGCCAAAGCAGCGATGACAATGGCCACCGATATGCTGCAGGAAGTGAACGGAGTGGAAATTAGACACTGGGCGAAACTGCAAGTCATTGTTTCCCCAAATAAAGGGCTGCCCACTTTCTCTGCTTTTTACGAAACATATTAAACTTTGTTGGTATTTTTACAAATCGTTTAATAAATCATTTAACAATTTCTATACATCGTTTAAATATTAATATATAACTAAATACAAATATACATATCATCAGAAAAAGTTTCCTTATGTTTTTGCAGTGTAATAATAATAAAAAATTAAATCTATTTAAAATAAAAGTTTTTATTCCAGAATTTAATTATTAAAATCAATTTCTTAATATTGTAAAATAGAAGAAAAACACAATGTAATCTGATCCTTTTATTTTTACATTTTATGGAATTTACTAAATACGAAAATTGCATTTAGTATGTTGACATGTTGTTATTTAATCTTAAGGTTTTACTCGATTTAAAAGGCCGTTTAAAATAAATGATACAATATTTTGGCAAGGAATTTTTAAAAAATATTAAAATAAACATTTCGGCTGATCAAAATCCCATTTTTTGTTGACTATTTTTTGCAGTGCTTTTAAAGAGCGGTGAAAGTTGCATTCTCCAAATCAGAATCAATGTGGGCGGTAAGTTGGGCGGTCAGAGTGTAATCATGGGAAATGCCTATCCCAGGTTTTCCGGGTTCTCCAAAAATTGAGTGAGGCTGCTGATTAAAAAATACTTCAACCTGTTTTGTGGTTGGGGGGAATTTGCCAAAAACGAGGCCAACACAATCCACAAAAACAAAAAGAAAGTTAATGTGTGCAAGTCCTCCCGTACACCCAAACACACACACACACACACACACACACACCCACCCACGCACACACACACGCGCACACACACACTCTCAGTGATATGCAAATAAATGTCGCTACCCAAAAACGAGAAGCACAAATAAAATTGTTGGCGCTGAAAAATGTGCAAAAAAAAAAAAAGGAAAAGCATTGAAATTGCGAAAAAAAAAGATGGATGGTGGGGTATTTTCTTTTTTTTTTAGAGAGATCGCTGCAGAAAGTCGTCACCTCGTCGCCCAGGTATTTGTGAATACAGTCATGAGTGCACTCGAATGCCAATATTTGCTCAGTTCGGCAGTGAGTGTAGTCACAAGTGCCGAGATGGATTTTATGTGTTGTTATAATACTCAATATTGTTTTAAAAAATTGCCAATTGATTTGTGCGACAACAATGGTTTTTTAACACAATCCTGGCCGTTTTTTTTGAAACGAATAAAATACAGAATATTTATATGCTTTCAATTAACGTTTTAAAAAGTCTTTTATTATGGCTATTTTAAGCAATTACAGCTTATACTTTCATAATTTACATTTCGGCTAAGAGTTGGTAAATGTTTGATCCTTTTTAAAGGTTTAATACCAAATTATATATCAATTTTATTTGAATAACAGTATTGGCAAACAGTATTGCCACAATATTTTTCTAAACAAATTGTTTTGTACCATTTGAATTTCCTTTTCTTCCTTTCTTGCTTTAAATAACAATAGTTTACACGAAAAAGATCGCATAACAAGCTTAAATTGAATGGAATTTAATTAAAATCTGACTTCTCCGGAATCCCGTGAGGTTTCTCAATTCAAATTCAATTTTTAGGTTATCACGAGGAGAAAAATCGGGCCCAAATGTATCGGTACTGTGGAAACACTAAGCGTAAATAGGGTTTTCACAGTTGGCCTTTTCTATCGTCACGACAAGTGTCAAATTTGGATGACTTTGCTGTTCTTTCACTTTCCTCACTTTCTGCTCGGAGTTTTGTGTTCTCTTTCTTTTTTTGCTGTGACTTAGTAAGTGAACACGTTATTGAAAGCTATGCGCAGCCTGTTTTCGAATCGCTACAATAATAAACGCCGTGAGTTGTACGATAATAACGAAGGTTAGTATTTTAAGAAAAAGAGTGCCGAGCTTTATGGAATAATTTCCTGCTCGTTTTCTTTTCTTTTTTTTTTTTGTAGAAGCTAGGGAAGACCAGCCAAGTTTGCCCATTTACGAGCGTGCCGCGGGCAGGCGCTACAAATCCTATCGGCAGATGGCCAACATTTCCAGGGAGCAGCTCCTCAGTGACTCCTGGCTGTCCACCGACCGACTGCCCATTGTGATGCGCCGCAGTATCGAGCGGCGAACCAATAGACTGCTGATGCCTCGCTACAATCCGGCCTTGGCCACCCATGAGTTCAGCCACAATGGCCGGCCACGTCGTGGTCGTCCTCCGGCCGCCGCCACTTTGGCCAGATCCGCATCCGATTTCGCCGTTCAAGTCGGCGGTTTGCCCCGTCCCGTTGGCGGCGGGGAGGAGGCGCAGGAGTCGGACTCCGATCCGCAGTCCCCGGTACAAGAAATCATAGATGCCGACGAGTATCCCGACACGGAATCGGAAACGGAAACTGGCCTCCATTTGAACACAGATCTTGGCCAGCCAGAGGTGGGCCAGAATAACTTGGTCACTCCCAGCCAGAACTTGGCCATGAACTCAGGTCATAATGTTGCCATGAACTCAAACGACAGTTTGAACCCGAACTCGATTCAAAACACGCCCCAGGATCAAAATCCGAACCAGCAACAGAATCAGCACTATTCTCCGGTCATTTTCACCGACGACGAGGATGAAAACATCCCACCCAATCTCTCGGTAAGGACATTCTTGGGTGCCCACCGACCACCGAATCGCTGTTTCATTTGCCCGGAGCAAAACTGCCAGCAGATCTTTGATGTGCGGTGAGTTGCCAAATTTTCTAATATCTAATATATATACAATTAATATATATACAACTATTTGTGTTTAAAAAAACGATTCGCGTGTTGCACCTAGAAGGAAAATGTATTATTTGATAACTTCGGAAAGCTATACGATTTATATAAGTATTTGTTTAAAAACAACGAATGAAACATTTTACTACACATTATATTTGTCCGATTTTTTTTTTAATTAGAACCGTAATTTTAAATTATAAAACAACGCATGTATAATTTTTGAAAATTTTTTTTCCAAACAGCCAGTTTTGAAGATAAGTGTATTCAATTTAAGCGTTATTAACTGCTTTCTTTACTTGGAAAAATTCACAATTTCTATCATTGTAAGATTTTGTAGTGCATTTTATAGCTTTTATCAATTATTTTATTTTATCAATTTTATTAAAACCGTATACCAGCAAAGAGAACAGATAGGATTAGGAATATGAAAAGTATTTGAAAAATTCAAAACAAAAAATATCTTAAAACAATTTAATATCAAACAAGAAAGGTAGAAAACTTCTGCAATCCGAAGTTTATATACCCTTGCAGTTATTACAAAACGACTACATTTCGATTTATACTTTTTTTGAATTCTTTTATAAAAATATCTTTAATATATTTGATAATCTATATATATATATATCTCTTTAAAGCCGCGATTTATACAAGCATCAGCGCGACGCCGGGCACCACAACTGGTCACACAAGTGCGAGAAGTGTGGCCAGATCTTCCGCACTGCGGGCTTCAAGCGCATGCATGCCGATAAGGCCTGCGAACGGAATTTGCAGAAGAAGAAACTCAAAACCAAATGAAATTAAGGAACTTGTGCGGGAACAATGCCAGAATAAATCCATCCCACCTATCTCATTTGTTCTTCCATTCCCTTACACAGGAAAAAAAAAATTTCGATGTAACATTTAAATATTATTGATAATAAAATTGATTTTGTTATGCTTCGAATTGATAGTTATGAGCACTTTTTTTATAATACATTGAAAGGTTAAAAAAATATATATAGAATATTAAAAATTAGTAGCAATATAATTAGAGGGATTTCCAAACAAGTTTAAAATTCTATATAAAAATAATTATTAAATAATGATTTCAAAGGAGCCAAAGTAAATGTGTGGTAGTTTTTCGCTGTGCACTTTCGTGCAAAATAGTTTGCGAACAAATTAAGACCACTTTGCAGTGATTTGTGCCGCTAACACAATTATTTGTCAAGCAACAAGGACGAAGGAGGCGAAAAGATGTCTGGTTGTGGACGTCCTGGTTGCTCCTGTGACAAGGACGAGCTGCCTTTTCCAGTCGCTCCGTGGATGTTGTTGCGGAGTACGTGAAACCTGTTTCCTAGGTTCCTTTAAATACAAACAGGACGGACGGAAATTGTCTGTGTGTGCAGGAATTTAAGCTGCTGGTATTCGTTTTAAAGGATTCGACTATTTAATTCCTTCCCAACAGGAATTTACAGCATTTTCCTTTGCAAAAAACCGTTACGTTGGACCCCAAAAGTTATCCTGCGGAAAATAATTTCAAAATGTAGCCCACAAATTCAAAAAGGGCTTTGCTGAATAATAAACAACACTTATTAGTTGGCTGGTAGTAAAACATAATAACTGGGTAAAACCTTGGGAAACTTTTTCAATTAAGATTTGTTGAATTTAAATAATTAAATTGCATTGAAAAGAAATCAATGTCAATTATAGAATCTGCTCTCCCTAATCTGAAATCATTTACAAATGAGCAAGTGCTTTTATTTTGAAAAAAATATTAAACATTATTTTTATTAACTTTTCCTTTTCTGTTGAGAAAGTAGCTATTATTTATTTAGCTTATTACCCATAAATATGTTTATTTGAAACATGGTAAATATATTATATACAAGTACAAATTCGTACTAACCTGGCTGCAACAGGTGTGAGGAGCCACAGGTAACTCCCGTTGATGGTGGTTATGTTGCTGGTGTCACATTGCGGATCGGTAGCACCAGCAACACCACCAGTCAGGCGATGTTGCTGCTGGCGCTGGACATGTTGCTGCTGTGTCTGAAGCTGTTGGTGTTGCTGCTGCACCTCTTTGGCAGTCTGATGGCGACTCAAAGAGGCCACCTGTCGCTGCTGCTGTTGCTGCTGCCTATGCTGTTGCTGCTGCTGCTGCTGCTGTCGTCGGTTGTTGTGGTTGCTCGTGATGTTGCTAGTGTGATTGCTGATGCTGGTGATGTTGTTCAGCTGCAGATCACTAAAACTGCTGGCCAGAGAACCAAATCCCGTGGCTGGTATGCTCCCCGAGATCGTGTTGATCAGGCCAGTTTGCTGATGTTGCTGCGGTGCAAATCGCTGGCCCCGCGGCAATGTTGCATATGGCGAGTGGGGTTGGTGTTGCTGCTGCTGTTGGGGGCGCAGCAACTGTTGCTGCTGCTGCTGTTGCTTCTGTTGCTGCTGCGATGGGTGACTGTGCTCAATGGATGCACTGGTGGTCAACTGGTGGATGGCCAGCGGCTGCCTTTCGATGGTGTTGCAGTTGGCGTTCGCTGGACGGATGTTATTGTAGGGATTCTCGCTATTGATGCTGTGCGTTGAGGCCACCCGGAACACATTGGGCACCGAAGGATAATCCCTCATTTTTACGTTAAACCAACTACACTCAACCGAATCAAAAAAAAAAAAAAAAACAAAACTAAAATATTCAACACTTTGAAAGCGCGCCAAAAAAAAAAGGTTTTTGGTTGAAATTCCTGGCTGGCACGTCCGTTGCGCTGAAGAACTTTCACTCGACTAAGGGAAACTTTGGTCCTGGCCAAAGGACTCAACTCGGCCATGTAAAACGAACCGAAACGAGTAACTTCGGCTTCTGCGGATGATGATGATGTTGCTGCCGTGGTGATGATGTCGCTGTTGCTGCTGTTGCTGCTGGTGCTGCTGCTGCTCACTGGCGATTATAAAACACAGCAGCCATATTTTATCTCCGCTTTTGATGGTCTCCATTCAGCAGCAAGCTACGCCTGATGGTCATCGCCAATCCTTGATTCGTCGCTTCCTTGCCAAACCTCAATACACCGGCTATGACCGATGGAAAATTAACGTTTTCATTTGCACAGCCACAAAAACGCAAGGATCTCGAATTACAGCTTGGGATTGTGCAGCTTTTATTAATTATTCTGAATATGAAAATTACAAACAACATGTGCCAGAAATATATGCACTGGAATTTAAATTGTGCCTGTTTTTTAAGCATTAAAGGACTATCCATGGTTTTGAGAAAAACAGAATAATACAAAATAATTTGTAAGCTTATGAAATATTTTTTTTTTTTCAATATTTTGTATTAATAATATTAATATTAATATTTTGTATTATAATAAATTGAACTATTTTTGTATATTAATAAATATTCTTTGCTTAAACATTCATTCACAAATGTTATTATATTTATTTAATTTGCATTATGATTGCTTAAAAAAGTTATATTTGTATACAATTGTTCGCAGTGTAGCCCAACGGCGGGCAGGAGTAGCAATAACAACAACCAGCAGACGTTTGCAACTTCCGTTGTTAGCTAAAAGTGACTTCCGGTCGCTAGGGAATCCACACTGTCTATGTGTGTGCGTGCAAGAGCCTGTGGATATATATATATATAGATATATATATAGACAGGGATATGGGATATAGCTAATGGAGTTGTTGTTGCACTTGCCTGCAAATCTAAGCACTTATTGCAGACGCCCCAAAAGCACAGCCCCAGTTCGTTTCGCTGCATCTCTCGTTTATTTAATTGAATTCCCACATGTGATTGAGGTAAGTTCGTGCCATGATTGTGCCACATTAAAAGGGTATGGCCAACAATGCCCGAATCCCCCCAACCACCCACCGCCCACCGCTCACCGCCCACCAAAAATACTCAGCCCACTCCTCTAAACTCATTTTTGCCTTGGAGCTCCTTGTTAAATTCACCTTGTGAAAGTGTGGAATTGCAGAGTCTCAGGCATAAGAGCAGTCCAGAACAAAAGCTGAAGATTAAGCGCCAAAATCCGCACTGAAAGAAAAGCGAGTCTGTTCATTGTTATCTCAGAACAATCTATTTTTATGCTTTAAAATTACACAAATAGCTTAAAACATTAAGAGATTGTATAACTATATTGCTTGCTGTTGGAAACAATCAGTAATAAATATATCATAAAAGAATAAAAAAATTGTTAAATACACTACTTAATTTAATGGTCCAATTAGAAATATTAAAATTAATTTACATTTACGATGCAGAACAAATCAAACACGTTTTTTTTTTGTTGATACGTTTTCTCGTTTTACCAATATTAATATTAAAATTATGCAATATTTACTGTGCACTTCATTTATGGCTCTTTCTAGCAGTCTATTCATTTTGTATTTGGACAAATTCCGAGTTCCGAGAAAGGGTATTTCATCAAAATTTTGACTGTGGTGTACAGTATGCATATGGGAGACATGTGTAATCTAGTCAATGGAAAACAAAAGCTGTAGACTATGGCAAGAGTCGTCCTATTCAGATCAATAAGCCAAAAATCCCTGTTCATTTGAATGGCAATTAAGCCACCTGCCTGGGATTACAAAATCGTATGATATAGATTTGAATGGCAATGCACGAGAAACGAACAATTATCCAAGTAATCAGGACAGGAAATGTATGAAGGAAGGTTTTTATTTGGCTTCAAATGAAAAAATATTCAAACTGACAAAATAGCCGCCGTTGTCAAGTCATTTTAAGCCTTGTTTAATTAATTTGAAAAAAAAAGCTGCTGCTCTTTAAGCCATTGCTTATAAAAACTTTAACTTTCTTTTGGTGACTTTCAAATAAATTGTTCAAAAATAAATTACAACAAAACGTCCGGAAAATCAACTTCCATACAGTACTTTTTAGCCATACTATTGTAATTAAATCATTTGGTTAGCTCAACAAAACGTTTTAATAAACTAGCAAAAAACAAAGCTAAACCGGAAACGTTTAATTAAATATAATTATATTTGCATTACGTATATATGAAGTATTTGGTAACCAATTTGTTTGACAAGCAAACAAATTAAATTCAATCTTAATTAAATCTCGTTCTGTTAGGAAACAAAAATGTGCTAATTTAATGCCAACAAGTTGTTGGACGGTCCATTAATTTGCCATAGAATTAAATCCTTTTTGCCCATTCTATCTGAGCATATAAATACATAGAACAGAGTTTACAACTTTCGCAAAACTTTTTTATCTAAATGCGCTGCAAATGCTGGCAACACTTTTCTCTGTTTCTTTTATTTTTCCCCCGTTTTTTTTTTGTTTGTGTTGTGCCTTTTGGAAGTTTACTTTGTCCTTTTTTTTCTAGTTTGTTTTTCTTTTTTTTTTATTAATTTTTTTGTCATTTTTTGAGTAGCATTTTGTTGCTGTTGCAACAGTCAAATGTTTGCTAATGCACACAGACACAGACGCGTCCATGTTGTTAGTGTTGCTGGCAATATGTAAATTCTCGAGTATGCGTGTGCTTGTGGAATTAAAGAGTGCCAGTGTGTATGTACTTTTATTCTTTTATATGTATGGCTGTAGTCTCTTAATTTTTGCCCACATTCTTATACCTTTTTCTCCTATCTTTCTGTGTTGTTTCATTTAATTAACTGAGTCAACAAAGAAATTAGTAGTGGATTTGTTAAACATACAAAAACGAAACATTTTTTGATGACTTATTTATTATACATTTGTATAACATTCAAAAAGCAGATTACTTTCCTTCTGGTTGGCTATTTAAGTCATTTTAATAGGACCAGCTATTGTTTCATCTACAAATAATGGCAATTTTAAATGTATATTAAATTATATAAAGCAAAATAAAACACATTAATTAAACCATTTATTATTCAATTACGAAAATATCAGGTGAATATAATCTACTTATATTGAAGCCTTGTTGTAAGTCCGTTTTTGTTTTAACAATAATTTTTAATGGTGTTGCTGTTGAAAAACCAAGTAAATGTTGTATCTCTGTTTAAGCCGTAAATAATTAAATGGGAAAAACATTTGGCGTTGCTAAGCTACTTATACCACTGCCAAATGTTGCAGGGGCAATGCAAACAATTACTGCCCTTAATGCATTAATTTCTTAATGAAGCTATTTGAAATATTACAGCTGACTGTGTTTATTATTTATGCTTGTACAAATTTAATCTTAATGAGTTCTTATCAACTTAGTTTGGATTAGGTTTTTGCTGTGTTGCTGCAGCTTAGACCTAAAATAAATAAATTTCTATTACTCTTAAATTGGCTTGGATGCTTTCGCTTTTAGATGCTCAGTGAGTTGTGTTGCAGCTGCAATATGAACTATTATTGCTGGTGTTGCTGTTGTGGCAGCCTCGTGTTGTTGCAAGTTTGGTCGGCTCAGTTTCTTACCACGCTTTTCTGCAGGCGCTTTTTGTCATTCAACCAAAGACACTGTTTGCCAGAGTAGTAAGCCCAACAATTCTATTTTGGCCACGACAACAGCAACATCAACATCAACATCTGACAAGGCCAAGGCAAAACTTTATATGCACTACAGCATTTACTTTCCGAACAAGATGGGTTTTTATTTCTTCCGGGAAATAAGTTGTATACATTTGTATTGATGCTTTAAAACTGTCCGCTTTTGGTATATTTTTCCGACACTTTGTCAACTTCAATTTGCGCTGGGATTAGTGTTGCTGCTGCTGTTGCTGTTGCTGATGCTGATGATGTTGCTGCTGCTGCTGTTGTCGTTTTCCAAATATTGATTAAATGCACAAGACCCAAAGACTCGGATATCTAGCATAGTGACACACATCGACCGCAGGGATAGATTTGTTGCTGTTGTGCTGACTGATTAGCGCCTTTGCGATGTTGCTGTTGTCACTGGTGTTGCTATTGTCGCTGGTGTCGCTGCTGTTGCTGCTGTTGCTGTTGCTGTGAAAATTGATGAGCAATTAAGGTTATTGACCAATCGCTTGGCGAAGGGTTGCTTTCAGGGGTCGGGGTTGAAACGCTTCGCTGCCTTCCCGACTGACCCAATCACATATATACGAGTACATATAGTATGTGGATGGGCACTGAGAGCAATCCACTCTTAATTCGTAATTAACCACAATTAAAGAACTTAAGGGGAGAAAAGGAGTGAAAGTATACATCAATACATTTCTAACTCAACTTGAAAGGAATTAGTATTATTGTTCTGTTTTTAAGTGCAAGTACATAATAAAGAGCACAGAAAAAAATATTTACAAATTCATAAGTAATTCAAATTAAGCTTAAATTTACCAGTTTATCTCATTTTAATATTCTTTTAGTGCCAGGTGTTAGTGCCGCTATAAGTGTATTTTGAGTTTCAAAATACAATGCTATTACTATTTCGCTCAGTGGCTTCATAGTCGCAGATCCATCGAAGCGACAACAATGCCGACAGCAGCCATAACCAGACCACTTGCTCATCCTGCGCCGGATGGGAAGCGTCAAACGGAAACGGAAGCAATTGACTGAGTGACAGGTCCTCCGCCCCTCAAAACACCACCAACACCCTGATTAACATTAACTGATTTAAGGTGAACGACTAACCTAAATCCGAAGCAACTCCGGTGGCAACGGAGCCGCAACTTCAGGA